AAAAACAAAAACACTGAGGTATTGCAGCAGGGCCAAAAAAAACCTTGCCTTTAATGCATACATTAGCTAAATAAGTTGTATCGGTCGACTCTTAAGCCGCTCTTGAAAGTTGGTATCGTCGGTTTGACGTCCGTGGACTGAACGTCGAATTGTTGTTTTGGGGTGTTACATACGAGACAAGGGGTGTGCCCCTATACACCCTCTATTTCTGAGAGTGAATTGGGTTACCCGAGGGGTAGCGCCAGTGCATTCTCTCGAGGGAGTCACGGCTAAATGCAAATGAGTGAAGTACCCTCTATGGTCAAACGAAGTTGAGGCGCGCATAAACAAACGCTTTGTCAGCAAGGATGAGTTGGTCTGTATCCCCTCCTCTACATACAGTTCCCTCCGCCGGTATATGCCTCGGAAAGAGGCCGTCGAGCGGACGCAAGAACACGATGAATACGATCGCCGTCATCTCGGGGCGTTCTCGCCGACTATACGTCGGTTCGATTTCGGCTGGAGGAAGCTACAGGGGGCTCTTTCGAAAAGCCGACGCCGTTCGCCACGGCGGCGGCACCCCCCCAGTTTGTGATCGATATGGCAGATACGCAAATGCGTCTAGTCGTTGTTTGCCTTCTTCTGTCCGCTGTCTTCAGCCTTCGGCGAGACGCGTTAACTTTCGCGTCTTCATTTTCCGCGTTCGCTGACGGACAACCGTTTCGCGAATTTCCCACTGCCCCCAGGTCATCCGTCGACCCCCATGCTCTTTCCCTGTCTTCCCTATACCGCGTGCCCTCTTCCCCACTTCCCCTAGTTTCCAAGTTTGAGTTTGTTCTTGTAGGCTTAAAACGCGGCTTGGGTTTCTTTTTCTTTTCTTTTTTCTTGCGAGGTTGTCGGCGGTAGCCGTTGTCGTCGGTGGCTCATTCGGCTCTCTTTGAAACTCGTCCCTTCTTTTTCCCCCTTCGGGACAGGCCTAAACTGACTGACGAAAAATGCCCGTTAACGGCGGACTCGATGCACTACACTTGTCCTCACGAAACGTGCATGCTTTGCGCGTAGGTCAAACGATGCGCGAAGTAATTCTTGCAAGATTTAGTTTTCAAAAGAAAAATCAACGTTATTTTCCTTTTTTTGTTTGTTTTCGTTAAAAAAAAGAAAGAGAAACAACAACATAGGACAACATATGGCTGATCTTAAATTGTGCGTCTGCGTGGGGGGGCGTGAGGTGTAAAGTGTAGTATGTAACTATACTATACTTCGTTTCACCTTATCAAGGCGAAAGCCTTATAGGTTTCATCGTTCAGTCCTTTAGCTAAAACGCATCGCCGACACGAAAGGTACCAAAACCCGCGGTTCGCCACCGGACCGCGAGATGGCGGTACTTGAACCCGAATCGGCGGGGGCGCGCGCGCGGTGCAAACCCAGCAAACAAGGACATCCCGAAAGAGAACAGCGCACCTCAGAAGGTATACTGGACTTATATTTCGAGTTCATCAATAGTAATAAGGTCGAGAACTGGGTAACTTGGTATTCCTTGCATAGTTAAACAACGCAAAAAAAAAAAAAAAAACGTACAGAGGGAACGAAACAAGCGTATACAGGTCAAGCGCTTTTTCTTTCTCGCTACTGTTTCGTCCCCTGCGTACGTGTTTTTGCGCTGTTTAAAACCGTACGATGTGTGACTAATAGTCCATTAAAAACATACTTTTGGTGCGTACATCTTAGTTGCCAGACTGAGCCAGCAGTAGAGTTCGTATGCGCCATATACTATATAAAAGTTCACTTAAATTATAGTAGTATATCTTAGTATACTTTTAGTGTATCGCTGTTTTCCAAAGCGGCCGCGCTGATCGGCCATTGCGAGACTTATTTCGCCACATCGGTTTTCCCTAAATACCCTTCGTCGTCACTTCCATTTTTTATACCCCCCCCCCCCCCCCCTCCTCCTCTCATGGCCCTGCACGCGGGCGTCACCAAGCTTCCACCATCGTCTTACCCTCCCCCCGTTCTTCTCCTCAGCCTCTCTGCAAAGAGCAAGAAACTTAATAGTTCCGTCATCCGTTTCACTTTTCCCCCGCTCTCCCCTTAATCAAAGTCACGTCGTCGTGTTGCCGCTGCTTCTACTATAAGAGGGAGCGATCTCCAAAGCACTCCGCGTCGCCATTAAGCCCTCTCGCCCCCCCTTTGTCTCCCTCGCCCACTAAAACACTTGGGCCGGCGGCGAGCCTTTTCCTTCGTTCCCCGTCTTCTTCTGCTCGTCTAGTTTTACGCGTTCGTGTCTTTATCAATCTTCGTGGACGCGAAACATGTTGAGCGCCGTCGAAGATTGCCCGAGAACTTGTGAAGATTAGTCTCCGTTACGGTTTTGTATACTTAGTCTCCGTGGGCCAAACAATCCTGTTGTCGTTTTGCTCGTTATTTCTGTGAGCCGCGATTTTTTTGTTTGTTTTAATAATAGAGAGTCTTAGTAGGAGGTGTATAGTTACCGGATCGCAACCACGGCGTACTAATTTGGGGTTTTAGTAGATCGTTTCGATAAATTGATACCCGATAAGGGTATACGATGCATGCTCTTCCCCTCTGAGAAAAGAAATAAATCATAAATGGTTTGTTAAAAAAAGCAAAAAAAAAAAAAGAAACCCATATAAATTATATTGGGCGTGTATAGAAGTGTATCATATCTTGTATATTATCACATATTTATTGAAATATGTGATATTTCAATAGTTTTGTCACATATCCCATGGATGGGTATCAAATTGTCTAAAAAAAAGTTAAACAACGCTGAGGCTGGTTGAGGGCTCGGCTGTTGTTGACGTTGCACAAAACATTGACAGTGCAAGAGAAACCGGAGCGGTCTGTCTCGTATTTTTTTTTTCTCAAAATAATCGAAGGTTTAGCGTTCCAAAATGCTGTACCTTAACAAGAAATTGGTTTGTTGTATGTGTGTGTGTGTGTGTGGGGGGGGGGGGGGGGGGGCTACTTAATTGCGCAATCCTATGAAAAACAAACCTCGCGAAATCAAGAAACACATTTACCGCGCCCGTTCCATTGTCAACCGCTAAGTCTCTTTCGCGTTGTCTTTCCCCATTTTCCCCCTTGTCCGTCTTCCCACCTGTTCTTTTTTTTTTTTTTTCTATACTGGTTTTTTGTTGACCGAGGAGAATGTTTGACCACCTGTTAACAATGCCGGCTCACCACGAGCTCCCGAATTGGGGAAGCCCCGTTTTGTCCTCAAATGGGCGAATCAGTCAGACGGGAAGGAAGCGTTTCTTGCATTCTCGTCCCCATGGGGAGGCTTTTTTATCTTTCGCCGACGTCGCAGTTAAAACTGCCGTTTGCGCCTCCCCAACGAACGAAATCTCTGTCGGTAGACGCGCGTCGGTCGAATGACCGTTGAATACTCTGCATGCGTCGCGGCCATCGAGGTCACGCTTCTTTCCCCTTTTTTAGCGCCTTGGGAGTCTCACGCTGCTGGAGCGGGGACCGTTACTGGGGAAATGGGGAGGAGGTGGGTCTAATCACCCCATTACGCAGCCGAGATGACGCCCCATCCAACGACGGGCAATCAGGCCAGGAGAAGAAAATGGCTCAAGTGGCTCCCTTAAACCTCGGCTAGGGGAAATAGGGAAGCGTAGGCGTGTTCTTTCTTTTTTTTTTTTTTTTTGGTCGGATAGAAAAGAGAAAAGTGGAGGGATAGCACTCCTTACCCTCTCCCCACCGTCGTGGCTTGGCTTGGCTCTCTTGAGCTGTCCTTGGATTAGTTCCGGGTGCAGTTTCGAGTTTGGTGGTGGTTAGAAATGGGACATACTATTTTCTGTTTTTGGATTGTTTCGTGGATGCCAGTCAAAACATGGCACCATGCATGAAGGCAAGATTTTAATTTATTTATTTTTTGTTTTTGGAGGGGGGAGGGGGGGGAGTTGAGGGGGCGCACGTAATATTTTTTGTTTTTTGCTTTTTTTACGTGTTGCAACTGTGATCAGACTATGTCTGCGAAGAACTCATAACTTATTTTGATTTGTGTTACACGAGAGGTGTCAAAAACGAATTATACAGTCAAAGTACAAATTGAGTAGAACGTAATGTTAGCAGTTCAAGGCAAACAAAATGGAAACAATATATATATAAAAGATGGGTCAAATCTGGACATTTTTCTCAAAACTACCTGATGCAGTTCGCGAAATTCGGCCCGGTTATATGACCGAACTTGGAATTTCTGTTCTCACGGAGAGAATTCCACTTATTAATACCTAGAAAAGAGATAATATTGAACTGCATTAGTTCCTTCGATTTTGACTCGGCGTTCAGAATATATGACATAACATGTACGTTTCACTGTTTGATCGCTTGGTACAGCTGACGGTTGATAATAACCATGCAGTGGAACAGGTGGGAAAAGAGGGGGGGGGGGGGGGGGGGGGGGGGGTTGGCCTCATGCATTTAACACGGGTGTCTTAACACCCCTGCTTCGAGCGTTCTCCAACATTCGGCGCAGCAGACAAACGCCAACATTCTACACATACAAAACTGGTGTGTGCAAATGGTTAGAAGAATATAACTAAATCGCTTCCTTCGCGGGTGCTATGCCCTCGGAAACTTCGACGTCGATCTGACTTTCCATCGACTTCCCGGGAGGTCTTTAGCCTGTTGTGCCTATCTTCTTCAAAAGAGACACTTCCTCTGCGTCGCTTTCCAAATGCGTTTTTTTCTTTCCTGTTCGTTTGTTTTGTTTTAAACGGAGATACGCCTTTCCGGTCTGCTCGGGCGTCGATTAAAGATGGCGGCGACACACGCCATTTTTCGTACCGTCTGCAAATTCGAATGCTTGTCACCAGCAAACTTTTGTCCGTTGGGATCCGTTGATGAAAACGAATTTCATGAAAGGGTGCGTTTTTTTTGTTTTTTTGTTTTTACTTGTATCACGGAAATCACGACGTTCGTTCTTATGATGAAGCTGTAGTCTATTTCAGGTTGCAAATGTACTCATGACGTGTTTCTGCTTTTGTCTGTTTCAGAGCGGAGGCGCTCTTAGGTCAAGCAGTCGTGATGGACCCAAGAGCCTATGGCCTCGCAGCAATGCGTGAGTTGTTTGTTTGTTGTGGTTTTGCATGGCTTCTCCCGCATCGACGTGGATTGCTTGTATAAGAGGAGGCCCCTGGTAGAATGGCGGGGCGCACTATATATATATATATATATATATATATATATATATATATATATATATATATATATATATATATATATATATGGGCGGTTTCATTTGGATTAAGGCAATGAGGTGCATTCGTATTTTTTTATTTTGCTTCCAATTTTTATATTGCGTGGCACATGTTCCAAGAAGAACAATTCTTTTTTTGTTTTGTAATGTCCAGACATCTTTAATATCCGAGAGAAAAAAAAACACAAAAACCTTAAAGAAGCAGGAAAGAACGACGAGGTTTTGACAATTGTCGTGTGTGGCGTTTTTGAATCACTCTCAGTCTCGAAGTATTAAAAAGAGAGCGTCTATATTTTTTTATTGGGATATATACGCAAGTGGGTAAAACGACATTATAACTTGTATTTATTATTCGTCGCTCCAATTTTTGTAAAAATCCCCAAACATGCATTCACGAAGAACTGTAACCTAGACTGCGGATGTTTTCTTTTTTTTTTTTTTTTTTTTTGAGTCGACTATGTTTAGTATTGCTTTTAAAATAATACCACCTGTAGAACCTTTCATTGCCTTCTAAATTATGCAAAATTTGTGTCAATCACGTACGAGTACTTCGAAATAAATTATGAAACAGAGAAGGTTGTCACTTTTTGTTCAATTTCAGCACGCTGTATATAAAAAAAGAGCAATTTTTATTGATTTTTTTTTTATTTTTCTCGCGTCGCGTTCTTTTTACACCCTTCTTTTAGCCAGCATTCTATTCGTTAGAGGTATATGCGCTAATTTTGGGTTTTAAGCCTCTAAATATGCTAAAAAAAAAGAGAAAATGCCGATGGTGTGGGGTTTATGGGTTATAGCTGTATATTTTTTTCGTTATTATAAAAAATCGAAGGGACGTTTAATAAGTAATCATATAAAATACATTCATGTCGTTAGGCGTAGAATAATAAGTTTGCAATTGCAAACGTCAAAACTTTCTATAAAATCGAAACTGCCGAAAGCGGGTTTTCAGACAATTTCCGCCGGTGCTACAATCGGAGAGGCCTCAAGCCTAAACCCTATGCGCTACATAATCTATACTACATCAGAAATATGGAAGTATAATATTGTAAAATATTACAGTAAAATACAACTCCTATTGGAAGCCTAGAGTTTTAAATCGAAATTTTATATTTTTAATCCGAAATTCATGTTAATAACACTACAGTATTTATTTTTGTCACTCTTCAATGTTTACGTTTTTATTTTACTCTGCAAACAACTGGTAAGTCTTTTTTAAATTATTTTTTTTATACAGCTGCTGAAATTGAACAAAAAGTGAAAACCTTTTTGGTTTCATAATTTATTTCTCAGCACTCGTACATGATTAAGGCAGAAACTTTGCATAATGTGGAAGGCAATGAAAGGTTCTACGCGTGGTATTATTTTAAAAACAATACTAACCATAGTCGACAAAAAAAAAAAAAAATCGCAGTTTAGGTTACAGTTGATCGCGAAGGCATGTTTGGGGATTTTTACGAAGGTTGGATCGGCGAATAATAAATAGTATTTGGGATGTAGTTTTACGTACTTGCATATACATCACAATAAAAAAGTATAGAAGCTCTCTTTTGAATATTATGAGATTGAGAGTGATTCGAAAACGCCACACACGACAATCGTCAAAAGCTCGTCGTTCTCCCCGCATCTTTGAGATATTTTTTTTTCTCAGAACCTAAATATTTTAGGACAATAAAATAAAAAGGATTGTTCTTCTTGGAACATGCCCCACGAAATATAAAAATTTAGAGCAAAAATAAAAAGAAATAAAAATACGACTGCACCTTGTTGCCTGCATCCAAATGAAACCGCCCATATATATATATATCAATCCTTTTTATTTTATTGTCCTAAAATTGTCCTAAATATATATATTGTCCTATATTGTCCTAAAAATATATATATATATATATATATATATATATATATATATATATATATATATATATATAATTTTAATTCGTTGGTTTATAATGATAACTCAGTCTGCGAGCCCCAAGCTGCCTAGATATACTAAAATTACGATAATGTGCGGCTTATTTTTGTATTAAAACATCTAAACACGCCACCTTTTTTTTATTTTTTTTTTTGGCCTGGAGGATTGGTGTTATGTATGATTATGTTTTGAATATGGAAATGGATCACGGAAGTCATAATTTGTGTTTTCTTTGGATGTTAGAGCGCGCAAAAATTAACGACGTAAACAAATAAAATACGCGCAAATTATTTTTAAATGCATTAAACATACGCCGTGTTGTTGTTGTTGTTGTTTTTTTTTACGCACGTCAGTTGAACGTCAGTACAATCTAGCCGACAGGATTGCCATTGACAATCACGGCAAATATTTCTACTTCCGCTTTGGTATTTACTTCTGCTGATCATTTGGGGGACCCAGTCGGTGACGCTTAAGGTGTAAACTGGATTGTTGACAAGCTGTGTTTGGCTTGGTGTCGAGCGGTATTTCTTGTTTGTCGATCTTCCGAGGTGACGTCCTTGTGGACAATGTAGGCTTCTTTGAGCCCAAATAAAAGTGGCGGTGTTGTAATAAAAAAAAAAAAAAAAGAACAAGAACGTGACGTGACAGTCGCGAACCCACTTGTATACATCAGGGAGTGTTACACTAACAGCAGTGAACACAATGTTCATAAACTGTAACGTTACCACGATATGTCGAAGGTCAGATGAAAAAAAAAAAAAAAAAAAAAAAATTGCAATCTCTCCTTTGGCCGCTGTCGACGCCCGGACAAAGTCAATTGACACTCTGAAATTCGTCACGTATCTTAAGAGTTCTCGTCTGCGACCCCCTCTCTATTTACTTTTATATTTAAAATTCTGCGTTTTTTTTTTAATGCCCCGACTGGTTGAATGCAATGAACAACCAGTAAAAAAAAAGGCACTGTATACATGCTACATGAACGAAACATACGTAGCCTCATAAACATAGATAAAAAAAAAAAAAATATAACGTCAAAGTTCGACAACACGCAATAGCGAAAACATAAAATACAACTGGAAGCCACCATAGTGCGTTCAGTGTCGCATTTTGTACCTTCCGTCTATACTCGGTTTTACCTAAAAAACGTAGTACAAAAAAAAAAAAGGCCTGGTTTTTTTGCGGAGGAATTTCGATTTCCCCATTTATGTAGAAAATTATGATATATGTGCGTTAATTTCAGATTAGATATAGCCTCGCTTTTTCGTCCGACAAGCGTATCTTCAAAGGCATATATTTTCGCGCGGGTTTTCCAAGTTGTCTTGGACTTCTGGACAAAGACGATTCTCCCCCAATTTGATCGAACTAAAAAAAAAGAAAAAAAAAAAGAAAGAAAAATGTTGTTTGACGCAACTTTGCGTTCCGCTTGCTTCTCACTCAAAATGGCGGCGTCTGCCCGTTTTTGTGAGTGCGTGTCATCCGCGTGTCTTTTTGCTTTGGCAGGCCTGGGGATAATCCCTTCTACAGTAACATCGACTCGATGCCTGATATCAGGCCTAGAAGAAAGTCAATTCCTCTTGTCAGCGAGTTGGTGAGTGCCCTTTTTTTGGCCGTGCTCTCTCTCTCTCTCTCTCTCTTTGCCTTGCTCGTGACCTTCCATTCTCATCACTGACAACTTAGAAAAAAACGCGGATCGTGCACCTTATTACGTTCACGCGTCTCTCTTCGTAATTTCTTTCTTTCCTTCGGCGTTCTTATCGGTTAATTTCATCTGTTTGCGGTACGATAATAAAGCCCCCGGGGTATTCGCTACGTGACGCCCGTCTCTAGGCTGTCAGTGGCCGTACAAAGCGAACATTTATAAGAGCGTTCAACCGATACCACTTAGAAGAAAAGGCCTGCTCGTGACGTCATTGTTTCTGGACCCCCGATCCGCCCCCCCCCCCCCCCCCCCCCTTCTAGGAGTTCCGTATTTAAAGCAGCTTTAAACTCGTAGAAGACAGATACACTTTATTTATTTATTTATTTATTTTTAAATAAGAGTAAGTGTGGTGAAAGAGCAGGAGCCGTGTCGGTGTTGCCTGACGAGACCACATGTATGGGACGGCAAAATTTACTTCATCTTTCGTTCCTCAGGTGCTTATTCGATAGGAACAAAATGGCGGCCAACGTTAGTTGAGTAAAAGGTTTAATATCGCGGGGGGAACAAACGGGGACAACGAAGAAACACGGACGACAGGACAGGCGCTTCACTCTCAACCGGTTTTTATTATTACCATCGTCACCTATATGCATATACGCATTGCCGGAACCGCATCGCACTCAATCGTCACAATCAAAAGCAGCCACCCAAACACACCATTTCACTCTGAAGCTCGGACGCAATTTCTTTATTTCTTTTTTTTATGTAGAATGCCTCTTAATCTCTTTCCGTTTTGTCTTTTGCCTTTCTTAAAAACTTGTGGGAATCGGGTCAGGTTTACGCCCCATCGCCTACAATGGTCAGCAAAATGCCCCCCCCCCCCACCCCCCCCCCCGTTTTGTTGCGCATGCACACACAGATTACGGCCTCGTGCTCTATCATTGAAGCAGCGCCGAGTCTGCCCAGTGTAGAATCTGCCACAACTAAACGCAATCTCGTATATACCACGTTGGTGACGCAGGCTGTATATTGCACCGCGTGTTTCTTGGAACAGGTTGTATTTTTCTGCCTCGCCAACATCGGACAGCTCCCAGCAAGTTTACAGGGTGCCGAAAAGACCACGTTAATATCGTATCTGCCAGCTACCTTTTTTTTAGATTAATAAGATGTTAACGTGGTTAATATGACCATCAATCAACTCGCCCAACTTTACACCTTGTTGTGGAAACCTGACCTGATTTCCACGACGTTTTTAAGAAAGAGAAAACGAAAAGAGAGATCATAAAGGCTTTCCACACAAAAAAAAAAAAGAAAAAAAAATGAATTGCGTGAATTGAATCCGCGTATCTTTTAGAGTAAAATTGTGCTTTTGTATGATTGACCGATTGTGGCGATTGAGTGCGATGCGGTTTGGGCAATCCTCTCTCTCTCTCTCTCTCTCTCTCTCTCTGTATATATATATATATATATATATATATATATAGGTGACGATGGTGATAAGAAATAAAACAGTTGAAAGTGAAGCGCGCCTGTCCTGTCGTCCGTGTTTCATCGTTGTCCCGGTTTGTTCGCGCTTTTTTGCCTTTTATTCTGTAACGGACCAACTAGCCCAAACTCAAGTTTAAATGCAACCAAAAATTGTCCTTTTTCTTTTCTCCTTTTCGTGAAACGGTCCAGTCTCCCTGCGCACCCAAACCTTTGCCACCTATATGTGTATGCCTTAAGCGCGAAACACATGTACGACGAAACCGTCCGATCCGACGTCCGACCGCGCAATACGACGGTCGGAGGCGAGGGTTTTCAACGCTCTCCGATGCTACGAAAACCCTCGCCTCCCAAGGTCATTCCGGCAGTCCGCACGTCGGATCGGACGGTTTCGTCGTACATGTGTTTCGCGCTTAAGTCGGTTGACTCCGATCGGGCGGTTAAACGCTCTCTCGTGCTATTGGCTCTCTACGCCACCCAGTGCACAAGACGGCGCGTCTCACGAGTCACGACCCATTGGCACTTTGGCGATCCTATAGACTGACCGGCGCAGGACGTATTTGCTCCGTTGCGCATCTAGACAGCGCCACCGCTTCGGGTGACCTTGTAGACACGAGTTAACTCGTGCTTATTATTCGCAGACGATTGAATCTTTCGAAGAAAAAAAAAACGGGTTATTGCGCGTGCGCAGTGCTGCCCGAACCTGCTGTTAACAAACAGCGTGCAGCTTCGACGCTGCGTGTCACGTAATGTGACCTTCGGAAGGCGTGCGCAGCGACGCGTAGTCACGTGATATTTTCGCATGACTGGATTGGCTGGTGGGATGGCTCGTAGCGTCCGCTCCGGTCCACCGTAAGTGGGATGCTGCTTTCTAGGCACCGAATCCAACGTTCACGTCTTCGAAATGGCTCGCCTATGCTCCCAGGAGCCAAACGGAGTTGGCGCGCTTGTCAACACAAAGTTAAAGAGCCAAATTGATTTTTTTTTTTTTTCTTTTGGGTATGAGTTTTTGATATGACCAATGCTCCGATATATATATATATATATATATATATATATATATATATATATATATATATATATTTTTTTTTTTTTTTTTTTTTTTTTTTTTAATGGGGAGGAAGTTTAGGATTGCATGAAGTGCTATGCATAGAGTTATTATAATGTACGCTAGGGGTTCAAGTGGCGCTAGTGTGCTGACGCAAATTGAAGCAGACAGCAACCAGTCGAAAATGGACTTCCGGTAATGCATTTCTATGGGAAAAAAGTGAGTGCATTTTTTCCCTGCGCTCGATCATAAGAGCAAATATCGTTCACTGATGAAGAAAAATGCGCTAACTAAAGCAATTACACTTTTACAGTGTTAATCAAGGTACATGCTATTCGGTACGACCCAAATAACCAAAGTGTTCCGTGTTAGTTTCCGGCGAAGAGACCTGTCTGTTTTTTTCTGTTACTTCTGCTCTTCAAAAAAAAAACCCAGTCTCAGGGTAAACGACGAAATGGTTGACAAAATGCACGCGCGTTTTCCCATAGGAATGCACAGGAGCACCGCAAAAGTAGACTGGTTGCTGTCTGCTTCCATTTGCGTCACGGAAGTCGCATAGACACTAGCGCCAGTTGAAGCTCTAGCATACATTACAATAACTCTATGGTGCTATGTACCTTTTATACTCTGTGTCATCCCCTTCGTGTTCGGGGGATCGAATACGCGCGAGTGTGTGTGTGATATCTGTCCGTTGTGAAGCGTCTGTTTCTGACAACTTGTCTCTCGATTCCCTTCTGACTTGTGATTTTCTCTTTCCATCTTTCCTCTTTCTCCCCCCTCGCCCTTTTGTGTCTCTGCTCGGTGCGCTTCGCTCTGCAAAGGTGCTCAAGGTACTCCTTTGAAATACTCTTTTTTTTTACCCCCTTCCATCTTTGATCTTAAGTTTTCCGGTTCTTTCTCGAAGCTTTTAGTTTATTTTTTATCGCCCGCACTCATCTTTTCGTGTCCCCCTTTTTTTTTTTTTTTCCTTTTTTTGCTTCCCGTTTTGAAATTTAGTCAAATTGGTTTTCTTTGTTTCTGTTTGCTTGGATCGTCCCATTTTGGAGCCGTTTTTCGGGGAACGACGCTTTCCGTCCCTTGTTTGTTTTGTTACAACGCATTCTTAACACTTTTGTTTTGTCTACTCTTTATTGCGTAATACGCTTTCGAAGCGTCGTTGATTTTTTTTTCCCCCCCATACTTTTGTGGTGTCTTTTCCCCGAGTGCTCCTTTAAACTTTCTCAGATTCTTTTGTGTTCGTCGACAACGTCTCCCTATACTCCCAGTTCAACTTCGTACTTCATCTTTTTTATTTATTTATTTATTTTTTCTCAGGCGCTTCGTGCATGCAGCGTTCTTTTGGAGGTGTCGTTTGCATCTTTGGTACTCCCCATCTTGCACCTCTTAGGCCCCTTGGAAGTGCCTGCTCTGAAATGCCGAATACGCCCTTTACGTGAACTTTGGACCCTCCCTCGGTCTCGCCTGTTTATTTTCTTAACCGCCATCCTCCAACCGCCTTCTGCCAACTGATTATGCGGCGTCTGCGACGAACGCTTATCTTTGCATTGTTTTTTTTTTATTTTTCTTGTCTTTATTTTTATTTTAATGGCGTTTGTTGCATTTGAAGTCACTCTGCATTTGTAACGCGGAAAGCGTGCGCCGCCTAAATTGAAAAACCCCCAAAATCCGTAGAAAAAACAGCAGACACGATGTTTTGGTTTTTTTAATGCCAGATCTGGCGCCGCTTCCTTTTCTCTCTCTCTCTCTTTCTTTCTTATTTTTGGGCCAACAAGTTTGTAACTGCGAAGTTGAGATATCCGTTTTCGAGCCCAAGAGACTTGCCACTACATCGCGGCGCTATTTTTTTTTTTTTTTTTTTTTTGAGTAGATGTGTTTTTTTTTGTTTTTTTTTTCAGGTTTTTTTTTAGCTTTTTTTGACTACGACGCAGCTCAGCTAGGGTATGACGTCACTACCTCCGAAGTGCATAGTCAAGAGGGGAATTGGAAAACATAGGTTCATGTCACCTTGTCCGTTTATTTCTTCCCTGTCTCGGGGTTCGAACTACGACATATGGTCACGTTTGATGCATCGTAACCTTGGTTACCGATTCCTTGGTTGATAAGGGCTTTAAAAAAACAAACAAAGGAAACTAAAGTCCTCAATTATGTTTTGTAAACTACAAAACAGATGTGTTTATTCAAGTGCTTAATGATTGAAGTTTCTTAAGAACTGTCGAACTCACTCAGTAGGATACAAGTATCCACGTTAGGAGTTTTGGCAACAGAACCCAATTTCTGAACCCAACGCTTAAAAAGGCAACTTTCTGTTTTCATTCTGTTATTGAAACTGTATTAAACATTAACTTTAGGATCTACCTATAGATGCTTAAAGATGCCACATTTTCCGCCGCGCTTTAGTTTATGCTCGGGCGTAGTAGGGCGTATGCCTTTCTCTCTAAAGGCCCATTCACATAGCATTGTTCGCTTACGTTTTCTTACGTTAAGTCACCGGTACGGTACATCCACGCCTCGAATGTCGTGTGCAAAACTATACTTCTTGAATAATCGTCATGCGAAAGCACGGATGTCCCGATGATCTTTGGCGCAAGCGGACATAAGCTGTCGTGACATCTGTCGAATGGTTTGTGACACACGTAACCCTTCCCCGATGGCGCAGACTATGGCTGCCACTAAACGGAATGCCGGATTGACTTCAGCCGTTCCTCGCCAGTCGCTCAACGACGAAGAACTGGTACGTCCTTCTCCGATCTTTACCAGCTTTGGCGTCGTCGTCCTGTACGATCCTACCTCGACCCTTTTAGATTATACATTTGGTCTGGAATCTTTTTTAAGATTACTTTGTTTTAAGGCACTTTTTATATATATATATAACTCCTACATGGATCAGTGTTGCTCTTGGTGCCATAAATTCGCATAAGTTTCCAGACCAGTTAGTAGTTCGTCTAAGAACTGGGATACCACACTATGGCGCCTAAACGCATCTCTGACTCCCGTGGAACGGCGTTAACGCACCTCACAGGAGCCACTGCCAATGTGACTCTACAGATCGCCGCCGTCCTGACGGTGGCTTGCGAAAGCGACGCTGTAGTGGACGAACGGGCGGTTGGTATCGCCGGTGTATAAGCTGGGCGTCCCAACCTCCGGTTTTCGGAGTTTCCGTGGACCGACTGAAGCTTCGGCCGCTGGGAGTTCGGACGGATGGATGGATGGATGGATGAATACGGCTGAGCCCTTTGGATCGGGCGGTAGCTTACGCCACCTAGCCATTTTGTTTTACCATTTAAGCTCAGAATATTTAAATGTGAAATCTATATTCACTCCGCAGTGCAAAGAAAGTGAGGCTATGAAACCCCCTTGCCATCAGTGGATAAGAAAATACCTAGTTTTCTCTCGATTTCTGCCACCATTCACTTAATCTTTGCTTGGTAATCTCTACAGTCTTGAAATCCACTCTCCCTTCGCTGTCTCTAAAACCCAATGACTTTATTAAATCTTTATTAAAAAGAAAGGACGCGCTGCGACGGCAGCGACACCTTTCGTTCGCTCGTCCCTTTCGTCGGAACTTCTACGACCGACCGCCAGGATCGCGACGTTCGGCGGCGTGACGCGCTCCGGCTTCCGTGACGTCATTCGTTGCCGCTTCCGGTTCGACTTTCCACGTGCACCGATCGTAGACGCGCTCCAGGCACCGTGCCTCGGTCCTACGATCACTGGCAGAGCTAGAACGACGGGGTGTCTCCAGTGCCTGACCTCCAACGAGCCCTCGTCGCCTTTCCTTCCCGCATTGGCTGGGGAGTGCGTGCTCAACGCTCGCGAGACGCCGAAGCAAGTGTGACCGACGCTAGGAAGCTCTCGCTGGAGGCGGGACAACCGGAGAACCTTCGTGCCGTTCTAGCCCTGCCGGTGACTGAAAGTGCCTCACACCTCGGAACGAAGCGAGGGAACGCACTACAGCGAATTCAATCGGGTTGGTCTCCCCCGGCGTGCAGAAGACGCACGTGTACAAGAAGACGCTGCAGGCGCTCATCTACCCGATCTCCAGCACGACGCCGCACAACTTCCAGTCTTGGACGGCAACGTCGCCCACGTACTGCTATGAGTGCGAGGGTCTGCTCTGGGGCATCACCAACCAAGGCCTCAGATGCACCGAATGCGGCGTCAAGTGCCACGAGAAGTGCCGCGACCTGCTCAACGCCGACTGCCTTCAGAGTAAGCCGACGTCGTCGCCTATCTTGACATCTTTACACGTTTGCAAGTCCGGTCTCAGGGCGCCGCCATCTTGCCCAGGGGGGTGCGCTTGGGCGCGGCCATAATCCGATTATGACGCCTCAGCAAGGCTTCGTAATCGGGTTAGGACGCGTCCAATAGGTGAGCGGCGTTTGGCAACTTCCGGTTCCTTAGGAAATTTTGTTTAGCTGTTGACAAGTGGCGACGATAATCTGCAAGCCTGTCTAAGCATGGTTCTGAAAACTACAGTCTGGAGGTTTCAAAATTATGCTTCCACAGGCTTCCAGCTCATTGTTGTGCTTGTCAATGGTGAAACAGAATTTCCTAAGGAACCGGAAGTTGCCAAACGCCGCTCACCTATTGCACCCCAGCGAGCAAGATGGAAGCGCCCTGAAGCCGGACTTGCAAATGTTAGTCAGCCCCAAATGGGCGTCTGCTGTCTCAGCCGTAGATGACAAATTCAGCCAGTGTAGTACAACTGCTAGCCTGAGGCCTTTAACGTGCATCACGCGGTGAACATGCACGGCCACACGCCGTTACGATGCTCATCCGCACATCCAAGTGGGCAGGAGTGGGGATTGAATCCAGGATCTCCGGGTTCTGCAGCGCAAAAAAAAAAAAAAGCAAAAAAAAAAAATTTTTTTTTTTTAAACGGTTTAGATGGAAAAAGGACTCCATAAAACGATTTTACAACGAAGAAAAAAAAAATTTTAGAGCTATATTTACGGCGCAAAACGAATTTGTAGTTGGCGCCCGCGGGCACCGCGGAAAAGTGGTTCGTATTTATCACGTGACTGGTCTTTATCACGTGGTGCTTGTGCTCTTTCGGGAGCTTCCTATGGCCTCTAAAAGTAACTTATTCATCTTTGTTTGAAGTATAACAAAAAACCAAGACGAATAAGTAACTTTTAGAGCCCAAAGGAAACTCCTGAAAAAGCGCAAGCAGACGTGATAGACTTGTGCGCCGGTCAGACGACGGCGGCGGCGCCCCGAAGCAGACGAACTTGTGCGGCGGCGGCGACGGCGGCGTGGAGAAACGCGTTGAAGCGGCGTTCGCACAACGCTCAGCGTGCGGCGGCAACGCAGCGCGGCGGCGCGCGGGCCTACCACGTGACCAGCGGCGGCTCCCACGAGCGCCAACTACAAATTCGTATAGCGCCGTAAATATAGCTCTAAAATTTTTTTTTCTTCGTTGTAAAATCGTTTTATGACATCCTTTTTCCATCTAAGCTGTCAAAAAAAAATGTTTTTTTCCTTTGCATGTGTCCTTTAACACAATCGGTTATGCGCATTTTCTGCCGCAAAGATTAATGGCTGTTACCGCGGGGAAATTTGTTACATCTTTAAAAAAAAAATAGATTTTGTTGTCTTTCGAATGTAAAAGTTTATTCGCGCGCTTGCGTTCGCGTGCCCGAGAAGCGTGCTTCTCTGTGGTACATCTGTGTACTGCGGGGAAGCCGAGAGATGGGAGGGGCCATCGCGCCGATGCGGCCGCTCCCGCGAGTCTCTGACAAATGAGCTAATTTACTAGCGCAGCAAGTGTTGGTAATATTTTTGCTTCCTTCAAAATTTTGTGTTTTTTTTTAAATTTTGGTTTAGTGAGATATATTGATATTCAATGGGATTTTTCGAAGTGAATTTGGGATATTTTTTTTATAAATAAAATTGCCGTCCCACTGCTATCATGCAATGTTGGTAAAGTTGAAATTTTGGAATGCGTGCCCAATGAACATTAGTTTTGGGTCAGTGGCATATTCAAGATTTTATGTAAAACCTGGTAGGATTTAGGTATTAGTGAAATCTATCGTCGTGCAGCTTTCTTTCCCAAAATTATTTTGACTGAACTAGCTGGAAAATAATTTGTAAGTCATGCGATGTCGCCAAGATGTCTGCAGAAAACTTGAAGCAGTTGAGGGATTTTTCAAAAATGTGCATAATAAGCGTGGAGAAAATGTGTGCTTTATGTTAACCAATACATGCAGGGAGGATTAGGGGAAATAGGGAAATCTCGGAAAGTGTTACTTGAGAACTTGGGGGAAAACATAGGGAAGTCAAGAAATTTCACTAATATGTGCAGGGACAAAATGGTAAAAATTGACAGTATACTTAGGGAGAACCGGAGGAGGTTGGGAAATTTGGTTTACAGAGTTAGTATAAGCCGGAGAAGTCAAACTTTGGCTTTTACATGAAGGACTACCTGGAGTACTTGTCTAGGGACATTCTGGGGAGGTTGAATATTGTATTTAGAGAAATCTTCAAAAGTTGTGGGGAATTTTGTTTGAAAATTTGGGGAAACCGTGAGAAGGAAATTACTTGTTACATGCGTGGACAGCCTGGGGTGTCGACCAATGCCTTTAGGGTAATTTGGGGGAGTTAGGAAATTTGACCCCTGGAAAGTCAGGAATTTGTCTAAAACAGTTGGGAATAACCTGGGAAGTTATGTATTTTGAATAAACATTCAGGGAATTCCTCATAAAACTGTGAAGTTCTTACAGATTTACAGAAATATATGAAAATTGAGGAGTACTTTTAGTGACTCAGAAAACTGCAGAAGTTTTAAAATTTAGCAGTTATATATGCTCAAACAGCTTGAGGAGTTTGCCTCATACAGTTACAGAAGGTTGGGAATTTATCTGAAACAAATAGGGAAACTTGGAGAAGTCAAGGAATTTGGCTATACATTCAGAGAAGACCACAGGAGCTTTGGATGGCTAATACATTCAAAACAAACTCAAGGACATGAAGAGAAGTAGTTGGACAGTTTGGATAAGAGTCTACAAACCTTATTAGATTGCCTAAAACATTTAGGAAAAATCGTGAATTTATTTGAAACAATTGGGGAAAATCTGGAGATATTGGTGTATTGTGTTAAGCAATCGGGAAGACCTGTAGGAGAGGTGGAATCTGGCTAATACATTCAAAACAAACCCAAGGATGTGGAGAAAAGTAGTTGAACTTTTTGGGTAAGAGTGTGCCAACCTACGGAATTTGCTTTGTAATCTAGAGAAAATTGGGAATTTAGCTCAAATGATTGGGGGTAACCTAGAGAACCCAGGCAATTTGCCTATGTAATCAAAGGAAACATCCAGAAGCTGTGGAATTTGGCTAATACATTCAAAGTAAATCCAAGAATGTGGAAAAAAGTAGTTGAATGCCTTGAATAACAGAGACTGAACAGCTGGGGAAGTTGGAGAACTTCAAAATGGCTACTTCATTTCTTACAACAGGGGCAGCGGAGAAAAGCACGAAACACGGAGCCGAAGACAAAGCAAACAACATCATCATGGCCATGAAGGAAAGAATGAAGATTAGGGAGCGCGATAAGCCTGAAATTTTCGAATTAATCAGGTATGCCCTTTCCATGGTTTTGTTCTTTGTTGACTTTTCTGTGCTAACAAGACTAACCCACTTAACCAAACTAATACTTCCTGGCATCTAATGAGCTTTGACTGTTACCTTTTAAACTATAAAGGGGAACAGCCTTCAAAGGAAAATTCTCCCTTCAGGCTGTGGGACTCTTTAAGAGCCAGCTTAAAAATTAAAATGGCAAAGTCTTGCCAGTAACTAAATTTCTAAGTTGAATATATTTTTAAGTGCTTCATTTTCATGAATCATATTGTGTATGTTGTTTATTATCGTTGAAGCTTACAATTTTGTGTTTTAAGCATAAAAAGGATGATGATTTGGTGTGAGGAAATTAGAATGTCTATGAAATGGAAGCATAGTTGTGTTCAATATATTTGGGGTCTATGTTTCAATAATTTATTTTGTGTTCATATTTAAACATTCAAACATATAACAGTGGTGGATCTATTTTATATTAATATATAGTGGGATCATCTTAAGAAAGTCTGTCCTATGTTTAAAACTAAAAGTAATAGAGTTCCTAAAGTCTCTTGTATTTGTTAAACATTTCATTAATGTTATTTTATATTATCACTTTTATTGTAATTATATTGAATTTAATATTACGTTAGTGATCAACAAGTCAGTTATTTGGTTTTGATTAGCACATTTATTGTAAATATTTTGAATCTAATATTAGCTTTGTGATCAACAAGCCAGTTGTCTCCCGCCCGTAAGTAAGCTATGGTGTTTTGGGCTTCTGGTACAATAGACTCTTTTCGAAATTCAGTGCCATCTGGTGGTTCGTAAAGCAGTTTAGCTTTTGCCATATCAATGGCGGAAATGAACTTGTATTGGCACCGTCACTTTTGCAAGTCAACGGCACGCGAGGAATTCTTCAGTGTGAGTTCTTTCTCGATCACTTTCAGTTCGATGGTGACCAAGAACCTGCGTTCAGAACAAAGCTCCAACCCACTCAGATGCCTCGGGAAAATTTTATACACCAAAATGCTTTGAAGCCAATTGTGTGCAGCCGGCAGATTGACTGAATCTGAGTTATTAGAAATGAACGCTTACGTAGCTCTTGTGTTTCATTCCTACGTCGCGTCGTACTGACCCCTCGGATGTACAGGCCTTGCATCATCCGCTTAGAAGCATCTTCAACGTCTTCCTTTATGAGTCGTTAGAAGGCCGCCATTGGTATGGCACAGGTGCCTTTCCACAGATGATGATAGCGATCAAAGTGGCCAGACTGAATTTCGGAAAGGGTCTATTCCTTTGTGTATATCTATGCCTAAAGTTATTATTCATAATACTAGCTTTCATTATTTGGGCAGTGACAGATTTCAAAAGAGGCTGGGAAAGTTGGGTGATTGTTTAATTGTGGCTAGATGTAGGCACAAACTGTCGAGGTCATTGAACCAAATTTTCCGGAAGTGCACTCCTGGTCATTTTTCGCCAAGCTTGTACTTAAAGCGGACAGGGCCTGTGTATACACCGTCTCACTAAAACTGTGTAGTACAGCCAAAGCTACAGGGGAGAGAGTGTATCCCAACCTGTTCAAGAGAAGGGAAAGGTGGAATGAGGGAATCCCAGCTTTTCTCTCCCATTCCTCCTTTCCCTCCTCTTGAGCAGGTTGTTGTATACTCTCTCCCCTGTAGCTTTGGCTGTGCTGCGCGGTTTTAGTGAGACGGAGTATAGACCCCTTCACACACTTGCGACCTCTTAGAACCGGGTGCCTTGGAACCTCTTAATATCTCCTACAATGAGAGGACACACTGGCACCATTCCGGTAGCGGTGTAAACTTAGCAGTCCAGCATATTTTTTATTTCTCTTGTGCAATATCCTTTCTTTCTTGGCTCGAAAAACTTTTCTCAACGTTCTAAACGAGCCTTTCTTATAGGTATTGCGTACATTTGACCTCAGAAATCCCACAAAACCTTCGCTCTTGTGAAATGCAATGCTAGGGTCACTGCATAGGTGGCGCCAGAGTGCCAGTTTGTTCTCTCGTCCTAAGAAATTTTAAGAGGTTTCAACAGGTCTCGTCTCTCTCAGTCGTACTCGGCTGCACGAGTGTGAACGGGCCTTATAGGTAAAGTAAGTCTGGTAACACTGAAAATGGAATAAACTTGGGGAAAATTGGGAAATTGGCAAAGGTTTGAGATGCTGGGAATTTGAGCAAAACTTAGTCAGACTCAAGACAGTTTGCTAGAAAGTTTTTCCACTGGTTCCAGAGGAGAAGCAGAAAGTAAAAGAAATAAATGGCTGAAAGAAAACAAACCAAATGCCCTGTTATAAGAAGTGCATGATCCTGTTGGGCCGTGAAATCTGCTCGGACCAATTTTATTCTTTAAGCTGCATCATGAAGCTTCTAAGACAGCATCAAAGGAAACTTCATTTTGTCTGTGCAGTACTGGTGGCCAAGAAAATTGATTGAGTGGTTTGTAGAGTTGTACTGGGACATATTACCAAAATGCAACGCAACACTTTTGTGCCGCCCAGTTGTGCAAAGAAAACACTGACAGGGCTGTTCGTATCAAGAGTTGCAGCATAACTTTCTGGCATTTAAAATGGAGGAATGTAATTTCTGTTGACTGCAGAAACCGATAACCTTTTATGTGCAGGCCACTTACATTATATGGAAAGCCGTGTAGACGTTCCTTAGGTGCATCTGGCACATTTTTACCACACCAGCTCTGCGTGGGTTCTCAAAAGACGGCCCTTTTGCTTTGTGTTTCAGCGAATGTGTAGCGAGTGTGCTCAGAATTTTTGTGATAGCTGTTCTGTTGCAAACAGTCGTGCAGCGGTACAAACCTTTGTGGACTTTTGTGTGGTGCCGCTTCAGGGAAGTGTTTAGCGTGGATGTTAAGAGCCATGCGGGCCACCAGAAGGCGGTAAAGCAAAGTGTCCTTGACGGAACGTCCAAGTGGTCTGCCAAAATAGCCATCACTGGTAGGTACAACCGACACGTGCACCACTCCCTCTGGAGGGCATCCTTCTTTGTTGAGAACCACAGAGGTCTCGCTGGCAGGAACCGCCACATCTGCCGGCTTTCACCGAAGATGGCTGTGACAAGGTTGATCTTCTGCGAGCTATTTTTCAGATCGGGGGAAACGTCAGAATAAGAGGAGGTGGGGATACCGTTTAGAAGACAATGCCTTGGCAATGATTGAGGCCATTTCGGTTGTCGGGAAAGTCTAGACAGAAGGTTCTTGACCTATGTTGAGTGGCAGCTTTCAATGCTTCTGTTCCATTTTTGTCGTGTACTCTGTAGTTTAGGTTCTGCAAGATATTTTGAAAATTGCTGCTAATACAGTATTGTTGACTGTGCTGTAACCTGTGTAATCAACAAACTTTGCATAGGAGTGCAGTTTTAGGAGGCATTTTTTCATGTAGTGCTTCAAGTGTAGTTTTAGTATATAAGTTAATCTCAGTATATGTCAGGACTACGGCTACTTTACTTGGAGTAGATGGCATACTTTTCCAAGAGAAGCATGACAGCCGACCTCATAGTACATTTCTAAAATTTTTCCAAGTAAAAATGTTGAAAGTATTGATGGAGTCATTTGGCTGATTGGCTTACATTGGCTTTTTCAAACCAAACTCTGCATTTGTTCCTTGCTAATGTAGTGCACTTAATTTTAACTGCACTCATTTCTATTTCAGGTGTGCAGAAAGAAAGCTTATCTGAAACGTATCTTGCAATTTCTTAAGTGGACATTTTGTATAAAATGTATTTCTTAAGGGTACATTTTGTATAAAATGCCTTAAGTTAAAATGTATCAATTGCTTTGAACTTCAAATACCTTTTACATCAATGCAGAATCCCTTTTAGAATAACTCCACATACAGTTTTATCAACAGCTTGTTACTGCAAACATTTTTGCAGAATGTAGCCCTGGTCTTTAGTGTAGATGCTGCAGAGACATAAATAGCTGTGAAGCGTTGACCAGAAGTGTAAGTGGCCGAAGGAACACTTGGTCTACTTTTGGTCAACGCGAGGCATTCTTTCCATTGATAGCGTAGACCAGATCCCGTAAAAGTGCATCTGTCATTGCCACTCATACTCTGAGCTTCATGCAATGCTGCCAGAGCACATCTTGCAGCAGACTAGACCTTGTCACAGCTTTCTTTGGAACCTAGCTGGCTTCCAGACATGGCTTTTCCACCAGTTGAGCACACACACATTTCCAAACCTCCAAATGAAAGCGTCAAAGAACGCTGAAACTCGAAAGAATCCGAGAGTCGCCAGAGTACACCACCTGTGGTGCCTGGAACGAAGTCCAGCCTGCAATGGCACGCCGCTGCGGAAGGTGTGCTACGTTTCCCCCCTGCCTGCCGAGCGAGAGCCCCTGTGACGTGGTGATCATGGTGACGTGATTAATGTGACGTGATTGCTTACCCCCGCAAGCTCCCAACGGTCGACGCTGGCGGCGATTCCTTTGTGGGACCTGTGTGACCTCCCGCGTTTCCATGTTTGTGGTTTTCTTTTTTTTTTTTTGTGTGTGTTTGTCGCTCACGTTGACATGGTTGTGGTTGGTGCTGTGCTGTGTCATCCTCTTGTGTGCCCCTGTGTGGAACTTGTGACAAGTGAGCTTCGGTGCGCATCACCACCACGCTGCGGCATCGCTTGAGGGGTCGTGGAGCGCTCCGGGCAATTCGTTGTGGCTATCTGACATCATGATTCGCAATGGGAAAGTTTGGGGATGACCTCTGGCGTCTGGCTTGACATTTCATCTTTCGCTGTTTTATTCAACGCTCTTTGATAAAAGCCGTTGTGTGAAATTCTGCTTTGTCGGCTGCGCAGTAAAATGGAGTCAGAACTCGTGTGGTGGTTGGCGAAGTTTATGACTGCTTCACGATACTCGGGAGAAAATGATCTGTCTGGAACAATCTCTATCAGTTCTGCTAATTGTTCATTTTTTTTACAAAGAAGCCTGCTCAATAGTGGAAAGATTTTATCTTGCATATAGACTCAGTTTTGAGGAAAAAATTCGGCACAATTTGGTCTCACCTTACGTATAGCAGAAGAGGTCTGAAATTATGAGGCAATTTATCTGTAATGTTTTAGTAATAGCTTAAGATTATTGTTAATTTTTGGAGTGCACTTTAGAAGAATAGAAAAGGGTAGTTCCTGTTTGCCTAGAATGGGCAGTTCTGAGACCAACACTTTTATCAGGCCTCATTGTTCTCATTGAATTGGGCTTTGTGGCAGTCTTATTGGTTGTATAGCTGGTTTTAAGTATTTCCTCTAGATTTGGCCAAAGAAACTTCAGGTTGGGTCACATTTGATGCCATAGTTTGAAGGGCTTTGAGTTTGGGTTCGGAGCGAGACTTCATCTAGCTTATTTGAGTTGGATACAGGTTGAACTCCCTGTTACGTGACAAGTGCTGGAGCACACTAGTCAATAGGAACACTGGCATCAGTTGGCCTGGTTTTAAAACTTGTAAATGGCTGTTCACTGCAGAGCGAGTCATGTAAAGCCTCCCTCTCCTTACTTCATCTTTGGATGGTTCTCTGTGAAAGGCATTACTGGAAGTTCGTGACACAGTGGACGATTGCTGGAAGTGGCCGTCGATACATCAAGCATCCGAAAATTGACATCCTTCACTGCTCCACGGCCCCTCGACATTGCGATAGGTTGTGGCAACATTGGTTGCGACAACGCTAGCTGTGGCGGCGACAGTAGTGGCAGAACTAGTTGAGACAACATTAGTTGCAGCAACATCAGTTGTGGCAACATTAGTTGCGGCAGCATCAGTTGCGGCAGCGTCAGTTGCGGCAGCGGCAGTTGGGGCAGCAACAGTTGCGGCAACGTCAGTTGTGGCAGTGTCAGTTGTGGCAACGTCTGTTGCGGCAGCGTCAATTGTGGCAATGCCAGTTGCGGCAAGGTTAGTTGCAGCAGCAATAGTTGCGCTAATTTCCCCCGGGCGACAACAGGAACCCGGTATGTCCCTCCTCGCAGCGCGCCTCACAAGGCAAGCCCCCCTTTCTTTTTGTGTCCGGTTGCTGTTTCAGGCTGACTTTCTCGATTGACCCCGACACTCACATTGACGCCATCCAGGTGGCCGAAGAGTCCATCTTCGAGGGCACTTCCAAGTGGTCGTGCAAAATAGCCATCACAGGTATCCGCGTCAGGCCCTTGCAACCCCCTCTCTCCCTCTAGGGGCCAGGTTTTTTTGCGTTTGGGGATCGCTCCAGGTACCCCCCTGGCATATGTTTTTGGCTCGGCATCTCTCTTTCTTTTTTTTTGCAAGTGGTCGCTTAGATGAGCGCTGGCTGCAATGCTCTGCTTTGGAGCTCCGAATGTTCTGTGTTTTAGAACTTGCTTCACCTTTCTAGAAGCTTTATTTATGTATTCTGTACAACATTTCTGCAAGATAAATCAAAGTTTTGCACTGCTTTAGATTGGAAAGATTGGTGGGGGAATGTAACTTTCATAGCTCTTATGACCCTACAAGATACAGAATTACTACTCTAGAGTGTAGGTGAGGAAAAAAATTGAAAATTGGTTATCTGATGAGTAAAGAAAGGTTTCAGATCATTGGCGGTCATGTACCTTCCTTGCTAAAGAATCTTAATGCCGCTTTTCATTTCTTTCAATCTTCAGCTGGTTACAAACATTCTGTGGAGTGTTACTTTCAATTAAATAATTGTGACATACCTTTGACCAGAAAGTATTAGGGATGGCGACACCTAACATGTCCTACTGTATCGACTGAATGTGTGCCTTTTCAAACAGTACAGTTACTAACTCGTCAGAAGTTTTGAAACCATTGAATGTGAAATCATCTAAAGAATCTGCAGGTCACGAAAGGGAATACCGATGCAGCTGCATAAAGCACGGCACGAGCTCTGTTTGGTTTAAAGTGTCGCAGTCTTCGCAGCTCAACCGCATCAACACAGAACATTCGGGCTCTAGCGCAAGCTAGTCTCTCGGTGCAGGCTTTGAGCCGCCATTCTTTTTGTTCCTTTCAAACCTGCAAGCCAGTCTTTTTTTTTTTTTTTTTAATCTTGAGATTTACACACTCGAGTAGCCTCCAAGTTAGCAGCACATCTAGAGGGTATGTTTCTAAAGGCATGGGGGATCTCTCAACGGGCTCTTTTTGTGGCTAGGCTCCCTCAAAAAGAAACACACCGGCCATTGGCGATGGCCTCTCCTTTCCTCGAATGTAGTGGAGCCAATCTCCTCCTTAAGGCAGCGGTCTGCAGCACGGCATGGGACTACTGTTGGTGGATTTTAGAACAAATTGTTGTCCACCAGTAGTACGGTTATGCACTCTTCGTCGTATGGGCGGGATGCACCTGGGCATTCAATCCACCCTCACAATGAATCCGTTCTTGCAATGACTATCTTGTAACAGCTGTCTCATAGTGGTTATCCCTCGGTGGTTATCCCATTGTGGTTATCTCGTATCAGTTAGCTTGTAATGGCCATCTTGTATTGGCTGTTTCTTAGTCACTATTTTGCAATGGCCATTAAGAGAAAGGCTTACGTTTTGTGCATAACTAGTAAAAAGTACCAGGAAAGTCAGTGTATGCATTTTTTTTGAGACAGCTGTGTTGGGGAATCGGTGTAGGTTGCAGAAGCTTGTGCTTTTGGATTTAGTCGATTTTCTGCGCTTCCAGCTGAGAGAAACGTACCAGGAGATACTTGTTGCCACTAAGAATACTATTGGATTGAGAATATGGTTGCTGTTCTTATTGACACATTTGTATCTCCACACCCAATTCAAGGGTACTTGGTGTCTACCAGCTCATGTGCGCTCTCCTCATTACCTATTATATATTGCTGCAATGATAAGGTGCTTTGATGTGCCATGCTAGGAAAATAGACGTCTTCATTAATGGCATTGCCCACTACAAAGATCTGACCTTTTCGAATATGCATTGCAGTAGGTCACCTGGACAGGCTTATGTAAGCTGAAGCATTTCAAACCGTCCCAGAAGTAAGGCTGGGGAATTTTGGTTTGCAGTTTGCATAAAAGTATATTAAAGTCCCTAGATTTTTTTTTACACGTTAGTATAGGATATAAAGAAGCTGTATTTGTATTCATACTTAACAGTAGTAATAGAGCTTTTTTTAATATGAATGCAGTCTGCCTCCCTTTGCAAATTGGTTTACTTTGAAGATTGCAAAATTTGAGGAATAGTTATAAGTCTTTTTTTTTTTCTTCCAACAGATCTAGATGTTTAGGTTTCTTTTTGGCTGCAAACATTGTGGGATAGTTTAATGTATTTTCTTGTTTTTTTTGTTTTTTTTCCTTACCTCTAACAAAAATTTGAGCATTGTGTCAAGGAAATACTGTGCTTCTGTGGCAGTCTCACTTCGGCCAGTTAAAATGTCTTCAGTGCCAAACCGAACACAGTACAAACTACTCTTGTTTACTTGAGGGTACCACACTGGTACATTGGAAAAGTACAACACAATGTAAATTTGACCTTGCGACTTGACTACAGCTGGTTCGTTTTTAGTTTTGCTCCAAACTTGTCTTTGCAAACAAGCAAAAAAAATACATGCCTCTGCATTTCTGCATGCTGCATCCTTCTAGAGCCTTACTGCCCCGCTCTTTTTGGTCGTCGCATGCTGCATAATCAGTGTCATTTCTGTCCGCACGTTCCCGTGCATGTGCGCACAGACTCGCTTGCATTTGCATGTACCTTGCCGCCCACTCTTGGACTTCTTTCTTTTAAGCTGTCGGATCTTAGAACGGACTCCGACGCCTTCTAGCAAAGCGTCGTTGGCGAGTCTTGAGAGTCGGCATTGCAGACTTTGACATCGAGTAGACTAACTCGTAGAGTGTGCTACTTATTCAGTGTTTAACCACCATGTTTATGTTGTCTGCACATCACTGATGTGATTTCTTTGCTTGAATACGATTCAGAGATTAGTATAATAAATACGGGTCTTTGAATGCTGCAGTCTCGGAAGCCATCTTGAATGTTCCTTTTGAAATCACTTAAATTTTAAAAAAAGTGTTTGCGATTTTGATTTTTATACAGGTAGTATTTAGTGAATCCCCTTATGTTGTACTAGTCTCTGAATGGTCCGAGTTCACTGCAGCCCCAGTCTATGAGGCTGTGCATTTTGTTTTGGTTAGCTCACAATGCAGTCTTTGTATTGGTCTAGTACAGTATTGCATTTAAAGAGAACTTTTAGTATAAAAACTTTTCCTGTTTTGAGGACCGTGAGTGAACTATCTCCTGAAGTGAACAGTGCTGTGGTGGTTAGAGGAAGTTTGCAATCTCTGTGGTTTAGGTAGTTGCCACATCCAGAATACTCATTCTGATTTCCTCGTGGCATCACGCTCACTCATGTGTAATGTGCCAAATAGCTTAGGTGCCCTCTCACCACATCCACTTCCATCCCACCGCAGCCGCCGCATTACATTAAGGGGGTTGAGGGTTCTTAAAATTAGGTTCTTATTTAACAATGTGTCTCACTCAAATACAGTGCGAAGACGTAATTCTTAATGGTGGTTTTGAATCTGCAATGAGATTAAAAATATCTCTCCAAGCAAAGTATATGTCAAAATATATAATCCTCTTTAAGTAGGTAAACATTTCTTAATGCGAAAAAGTGAAATAAACGTTCCTACTACTACTACATTAGGTCACTTCCAGTGGGCTGTTAAAGTGATTTTTTTATTTAAAAACTCTTCTTTTAACTACATATAATATTTTATAAGAATCCACCATACACCCCTAAGCTAAAAGGGTATTTTTTAAGGGGTGTTATTTATTAAACATAAATCAGAATCGCAAAAAGGAAATAAATGGGGTTATAATTGCCTCAAGTTGCAGCTAATTACTTTTCATTTATTAATTAGTGAAGCTTTAGGATGCAGTTCAGTTATTGTAGAAACCAACAATACTAAGAAAGTTACTCTCAAAGTTTCTCCTATTCTTGAAATCCAGCTCCTGGAGATTGAAATCTGCTGTTTTTAAAATAGCTAGAGATGGTACTGTGCATCCATATTTTGGGGCGAGATACTCCAGGCTGTAAAGATTTCTGAACTGATTTCTTAAAAATTAGTGGTTTTTTATATTTTTTATTTGAAGACCCTTACTCCCTTTTAATGCAGATCAGAGTGCAACTTGAGTGGCATTTTACTGTAAGGTTCGCTGGTGCAGAGATTGTGTGGCTAGAGCTCTGGACCATTTGCTTCTGGTAATATTTATTTTACGGAGTGCTTTCCTGCATCAATATCTTTCCATTAAACTTTTGCCATGTCTTAACAATAAAACTTGGTAAGGAACTCCCTTCAAGTCTTAAAATGGTTGCCAATGTTTAGCAAGGCAACTTGGATGACTCCTTTAGAAACATCTTGCCAAGACTCTTGACGAAATTGCTTCTAGTATGTTTCTTTTTTAAGGTTTTCCCACCAACATAGAATCCTCTCCTGTTTTGTTTGGTCTTAACAGTAGGGTCAAGAGGCTCTGGGTTATAGGAGTTTAGGAGTGGTTTCCGAATTTGCCTCCTACAAGATTTGGACTAACACTTTGTTGACCCAATGGCTGTGTCAGATCTTTCAGAATTTGACAACTACAGGTTACTGCAGCTAATTGCTGTTGAACAAAACATTCAATTGATTTAGACTGTGTGTGAAGTGACAAAATTCTCGTGACAGGTTTGCACTATGTGCTGCTTCAGTTCCAAGATGCAAAGTCCGCGAGGAGAACTTGAATTTCTTGTGGGGAGGTCTTTGCCTGGTCCAGTAACAGTGATAGGCATTCGATTGATTAATTGATTGATTAATTAACATTGTTCTTAATGACATTTGGAGTAATGCCTCATACTTAGACTTGCAACATTGCAAATGCCTGACCCCGCCTTCTTTGCATCCCTGCACAGTCATCTGTGCTCAGGGTCTGATCGCGAAAGATAAAAGCGGAACCAGCGACCCTTACGTGACGGTTCAGGTTGGCAAGACAAAGAAGAGAACAAGGACCATGCCGCGTGACCTGAACCCAGTGTGGAACGAAAAGTTTTTCTTGTGAGTGCCGTTTCGTTTTTCTGCTTGCATTCGTGACCATTGTTGGCCATTCTGGAACTGGTTTTAATGAAATTGGCACCCACTGGTTAGGGTAAACAACTTAATTTTCACGAGGATCTCATTTCGATGAGTATTGCAATTTGAAAGATTTTGTAAAAAATTTATCGCGTGATTACACAAACCTATGGTTACGAATATACAGTCCACCACTTCGAGTCGCAAAACATTATGCTCGTGAAATATTCCCGAAGCTCTAACTTTGCAAATTTCATGAAATATTGAGCCCATGAAAATAAAGCTGTTTAAAGCACGTGAGGTTGGAGAGATGTTTTCCTTTGTGTCTGTTGTCAGTATTTCAACGCAAATGGCTCCTTTAAAGGGGGAATGGGTTTTTAATGCTAAATTATTTCACAAAAACTTGCATTCTAAAAATTGAAAAAAACTTAGCTATATTTTTCCTTGTCTACCAACTTTTGATTTTGATATTTGAGCTTGATATTTGAACGTTGATATCAGTTTATAACATCTAAGCGATTTGAAATTTCACTGGAGTTGACGCTAAAACTGGACTTCCTCAAAACACGAATGTTAGACTTTGCAGATTTGTGGGAGGAATATCTCAGCATCTAGGGTGGGTAGGATTGTAATTTTTTTGTATCATGTAGCAAAATATGCGAAACACCTAATGTTGGAAGCAGAATTTCGGTATAGCTTTAGGAAATATGTTAATTGCTCTGTCTTTTATTACTTGGTTGCGTTTGTGATATGAACCTATTCCAGCTATCCCACTATTTATCATAAACCTACGTATATCAGTTCACTTGTCTTATTATCGTGCTCTCATAGAGTATGCATGTTCCATCAACCTACAAGTCTATAGAATGATCTACATACCTCCGCATCCGTGTTAGCTACGTAGGTGTTTATATGAATGCTCTTGCAGTGACAGTGATTTCCAAAAAAAGAAATTAAAAGCTTTTTTTTTTTTTAATTGTTGCAGCGAGTGCCATAACTCTTCGGACCGTATCAAAGTGCGAGTCTGGTAAGTGCTTGTAAAGCCATGCTTTGGGCACTTGTTAAAATCTTCCAATGTTTTGTGGAATCTTGCTCTCTTCTGAGCATCCTTTAAAAACACTGTCCTCTAAATATTTTTTGAAAATGTTTGATTTGCATCAGGAAAGCCACAGCAGCGCAGAAAAGGCCCATGGCCCATGTCGTGAGACAAAACGTCATTTGGGTTCTCAAAATGGCAGCCTATATTGCGCTGAGATCAATGAATGAAATGGCAACTGGCCCTTTTGAGGCTCTATAATTAATTTCTTTTTATTATTTCATCTCATTGCTTTCTCTGTACTTCAAAGCTCTTATTTCCTAATTCCCCAGACTATGACGTTCTCTAGAACTTTGATGTTCCCCAGAACTTAGTGTGACACGTTCCCTTGAACTTGACGTGTCAATTGCACGGATCTCTTCAGGGATGAAGACAACGACCTGAAGTCAAAGTTGCGGCAGAAGTTGACGAGGGAGTCGGACGATTTTCTCGGCCAAACAATCATCGAAGTCCGAACACTGAGTGGGGAGATGGATGTCTGGTACAACCTTGGTGCGTGCCCGTTTCTTCCTAATGGGACCCTGAAACGCGTGAAGTTATTTTGTCGGGATAGCACCATGTATTCTGCAGAACGCGTCACGTTCCAAAGCGACTACTGGTTGCAGAATTGTTTTGTCCGCTAATTCTGAGGCTGATGGTTCTTTGTGCTCGATCTCCGGCGAGCCCGGTTAAGCGAATTATGCGCTGCTAAAAAAATAATTTAGTTTTTATCATTGTTTTATCGGACTGGCAGGCTTAGGGGGAAAAGTGGGAAGTGGGAATGAAAGGGAGTCCAATTCTCATAGTTTCATTTTATATATGAAGAGCAGCACATGTAATCTAAGACTTATTCTTGTTTCGTTTTTTTATCTGTCAACTAGTTAGACAGAATTTAAAAAAAAAGAAAAATTTACGAGTTATTTTAAAAGTTTATAAAACCATCGACGGATCCTTTAAAAGGATCATGAAACGGGTGGCATACGTGCTTCAGACAACGTTGAGTCAGTTTGGTGAAAGCCATAAAACTATTTAGGCTTATTTAAAAGGATTAAAACATTTTGAGGTCCTCAGCCTCTTGTTTAGGGGCGACTGTAGTGATGGCCATTGAGGAGCAATATTTTCACCCAACCAGACAGACTTGTGTTAAATGTTCACATTCAAGTTTGAAAAAACTGTCTTGCAGAGTTTCTGCAGATGAGATTGAACTGAGTTCTAATCCAAGCATATAATGTCTCGCTGCACAAACTAATGAAACCAGGAAATGAATGTGTGCGTTGGTCGGAAATTGGAATTTTGTCGGTGATGTCGGCCGTTCTGATCTCTCCACAGAAAAGCGGACGGACAAGTCTGCGGTTTCCGGTGCCATTCGCCTCCACATCAGTGTAGAGATTAAGGGTGAAGAGAAAGTTGCACCGTACCATGTGCAGTACACATGTTTACACGAGGTGGGTTCACATTTTCTTGAGTCGTTCACATTGCACATATGTTGGCCGTGTGAACTTGAAAAAAATCCTCCTGGAAGCCTCAGAGCTGCTGCCAACACTTGGCTAAGATACTTATAGTCTGTTGCAGGAGTAGCAAGACATGTCTTTCCCACAATGCTCTCTGCTCATCATATTTGGTTGTTTTCTCCTGTCCACTCACTTCCTTTCCAGCGTTCGCTCTTCTAAAGTGAAAAGAATGAAGGGCTTCTAGGGCGGAGCTTGTCCTGCCTGCTATTCTGAACCTGCAATGGACCATAAATTCATTCATAGTTTTTATGATTAATATAGAAAGAAGGTCCACCATCTTCCCACACAATTCGGGCACCTCGAAACGGTCCCAGGATGCCAGGCGAAGCCTCTGTTAGGGCAGTCAGGCAGCAAATCATTAGTGGCAAGATCGGTACACACTGTCTTTTTTTCAGCTTTATTTGGCAAGAAGACTTTAGTGCCATGCATGGCACAAAGAAAACATTGGCCAGCAACGAAACGAGTTCAACACGTTGCTGCACCTAGCCCTATGTCTGCTTTCCTTTCATGGTTTACCTGTCATTCTCTCGTTCAATCTCTCAAGATCGCCGTTGTCTGCGCTCACGATTTGCCACTCTCCACTCCTGTCTTCATCCCCAAGGCTTAATCATTGCAGGTTATAAGTATGCTTGTATAAATGGGCATTTGAGGTGGTCCTGCAAAAAAACTGTCTTGACTGTGGAGAAGGTTGTTTTTTCTCTTGTTGTAGAACTACCATCAGTTAACAAAATAATTGTACATTCCACCAGAGGGCCATGCGCATGTGCAGAAAGAAGCTTTGCGAGAGTGAAGGGTTTGCACATGCTCTAAGTGGCATATGTATGGGTATATAGTTTTTCTTGCTAATAATGTCTTATGATTATGTATGTTGGATATGCACATTATGAACAGTACACCTAGGGTCTTGTACCCTTACATTTTGATCAGTAAATCTTCGGTGCTCCATTTTAAGCTGTATCATCAGTCAAGCTTAACCTTTCTTTTTCTAATGCTCTGTTTCATGGGGTTGTGATGTGGTATTAATGTTGCCTTTGCCCGTTTCAGAACCTGTTTCATTACCTATGTGAACACAACGCTGGAGTTGTAAAACTTCCAGAAGCGAAAGGGGTGAGTCGGGAATTTCTCACGAAGCGTGCTTGCAAAGTACCGCTTCACTTTCTGAGCACTAGGTGATACGCCTTTCTTTATAGCTGTAAGCATATTTGAATACTAAGTTACCTTTGAAATGCCATTTATTTATAATCGTAATTACCTAAATTCAGAACTAATTGCAACTACTTCTGCACAAAAAGTAATTAATTATTATTTGCAACCTTAGGGAATACTGCAATTATTTTACGATTACTTTTGCGATTTGACTTTGCACAATGTTTATGCTAACAGCATTTTGCAGAAATTAAACATTTTGATTAGCTTCTTGCCATGCTCAGGACTCATTATGCGGTGTTTTATAATCTTCAGATTTGAGTCTTTTGTTGCAACAAGCTTTTGTGATTTACAGCAATATGTCAAGTTGGAGCACCATAGAAGTCTCAGATATTTGCTGTTGAGCAAGAAGACAGAAATCCTTAACTTCCTTTTTTCAGTTTATCTAATGAATAAACTTGAGTATTGCAGAATCATTGTGAAAGTAGTGGTAATTGTAATGTAGGTTTTGTAGCTTCCAATGCCAAAAAGTAATTAGATCATATTGGAAACTATTTTTAGTCAAAGTAGTGAATTGGACTCATGATTTACTCGAAAATGTCATTTGATTTTTAGTCATGGTGTGAATAGTGGATTTTCAGTTCAAAGCAAATAGTAGTTTCAGCCAAATATTTTCAAATCAAATAGTTTCTCTAAGCCTTTCACTACTGCACCATGCTTAAACAAAAACCCAGCTGAACTCATGAAGGTTGTTCTCAAGCTTTCACTTGTCCATTTCTAAACTAAATTAATTTTAATCTAACTATATTTATCAACTGTGGCCTCAGAAAGTTCAATGCATACATTAGGTTGGCAAGTAAAAGGCGCATTTGACATAAAATTATGCCTATGAGATGCCCAGCTACACCTAATTAAGGGGATTTATAAATATTCTTGCTATATGCAATACCTTTTCTCCAGTCAGGAATGATTGACCCAGGTTGTCGGGGCATCTCTGCCTAACTTATACTCATGCAAAATAGACCGTTTGATTTTGAAAATTTTACTGCAATGTAAATATTTCGTTAAAAAAATAAGATACAGCAGACGCACTGTCACCATTCTGCATTGAGGATGTGCTTCTCTCCTAAGCATGCGGCTGCAATACTTGAGTTTTTTTCTTACGAAATGAGCCAAATCTATGTGAAGCAAAACTGAGATAAACAGGAATGTGTGCTTATCAGACTAGCTTTGAGCCCCGTACCGTGGCCACATCTACATTGGTTTTTCTCGCATAATAGGACAGATTTCAGATTAATACCTTTTGAAAACAATGGACCCCAAGGTATACTCTGAATTTCAGCCAAAATTGGCTTAGTTTCGGTTTCTGGATTTGGCTTATTTCGAGAAAAAAAAAAAAAAACCTGTTAATTTGTATGTGTTTATCCTGCCGTTTTAGCCCCATTGAGTGCACTTCCTACCAAGCACCAATGCACTGTGGAGAAGCGACACCCACGGAAGTTAGTTCTGCGGGTGTTGCTTCTCAGCAGTGCACCGGTGCTCCGTAAGAAGCACGCTCAACAGGGCTAACCCGCTGCAATCAGCACTAAGAAAAATACAAATATTGCAGTCCACCTTGAAGCAAATATCGAATAGCATATTATTCTAAACTGCTATTCGAAAATTTGAGTACTTGCACAACACTGTTAATTGTAGTTATTCGTCATTACTCAAATGGGGTTGTTAAATGTTATTTTTTGTGGAGAACATTTCTGGTGATTTCACCGAAGAATTATAATTTTCGTCAAATATATCTGTGTGAAGTCATGCCTCATCACTTGCGTTTAATTTTGTCAGTTCAAGTTTAAAGTAGTAGTACAGTGTTTGGAAACACAAGATTTATACATGTTTTGTATATTTAATCTAATATTTCTTTCTCTCCTTCACTGCCTTCAAGTGAAGGCTGGCAGTAATATTGAATATAAAAATAAATAAATTGTTGTAGGTGGAATCTCCTTTTCTGAGTTGTATTTTCAGTATGAAAACATGCCATTTCTAAAATCCCGGCTGTTAATGTTGCCAAGTGTCCTGGCACGTTCCTCAAGTGTCCCTGCTTTCAATTTGCAGGACGACGCCTGGAAAGTTTACTTTGAAGAAAATCCAGAGGAAATAGTGGACGAGTTTGCTATGCGATATGGGATTGAATCAATCTACCAGGCAATGACGTAAGTGCTTCTTAATCTTTCTCTAGAAACTCTTTGGCTGGCATTACCCACAAAGGAGCTTTGTATTACAGAATGCTCGCTAATGGTCCAGATTGTAGCATGCCCATTTATGTGAATAAAGGAACTGAATACATAAGATAATGTCGAGAAAGGAATTTTTAGAATGGTTGAAGCGAGACAGATAATTAATGAGGCAATTACCTCAATGTTCGTTTGTCTTATGTCAATCACTTTTGCAGCCACTAGAAACCCGGCATATTGTCATTCGTCAGATTCTTAAATATTCTTGTTCTCTGCAGGGGAAGGGATGAAACCTCGGTTGCCTTTCATGGAATAAATGTTGGAGCCTTCCTTAAACTTTTTGTTTCATGAATATTTCCGTTTAATATAGATTTTATTTAGGCTACAAAAAAAAGAAAAGAAAAACGTTTACAATTTTCCGTAATGCCGAATTAGAGCGCAGTTCTCAAGGAGAAGGGGGGGGGGGGGGGGGGGAGGATATGCCCGTGTTACGTCACAAGGGTGACGTCACTCGGGACATCGCTCCTGACTCGTGACCCTTGCGACCCTCGAAACGTCACACATGATGTCACGTGTCACGTCATTGTGGGAAACGTCCTGTAATGCAACGCCCAATTGCGCCGACAGTGACGGCAACGTTGCTTAATCCAGAAATGGGCGCCTAAGAGCTGCACTTTAAAATATAGGGTTTTTTAAAAGTGTGAATACCGACAGGCATAGTTTCAGAAATTTTGAAGCTTTTGTTTGCCGTCCTTGAGTGCAGGTTTACTCGATGCCTCCTTTCAGCATGTGAGTTTTGCTGCGATGCAGTCGCCCCTTGCAGCGAACCATTCCACCGTGGCACTATTAAGAGCTTTCTTTCATTGATTTCCTTCCGTCGACTTTCTTTCGCCGACAGTCATCGGGTCACGTATTCAGTCTCTATTACGCAGTGTATTGAACAATAGGCATCTAACTTTTTGACTCGTAGCCCCGACATCCTCGGCTCCTCTAATTCCGTACGTTGGATTGCTGGTGTGTCCCCCTAGCCACTTCCACTGCCTGTCGACCAAGTACATGTGCCAAGGGGTACCTGCTGTGATGAGCACCCTTCTTGCCAACATCAACGCCTACTATGCACACACGGCCGCATCGTCTGCTGTCTCTGCGAGCGACCGTTTCTCGGCTTCTAATTTTGGGGTGAGCGTGCTGCCGGGACCCTGCACCTGCGGAATTACGAAATTAGCACCAGACTGAATTTGAGGCCGGTTTGCACATACGACACGGTGCCCAGATAAGGCTAAGTTTGTGCTGAATCAAAGCTATAGTGTCAGCGTTAAAAACCAAAAGCACAAACACTAAGAAAAGAAGAGAAGAGGGGACGGGACAGAGCACTTGCTCCAACTGTTGGAATATAGGTGTTCAGTGACAGTCCCGGACGTGTATGGCGAGATGCCCCGATGGTGATGACTTAAGAGAAAGGTGATGCTCTCGAAGTCTCACATATTCCAACAGACTAAAACCCTCAAGCATTACTATAAAAAGAGATCCAGCGAACTCCATGAGGCAAAAACCATCTTGTCTCAAGGGGAAGCTTGCATAAGCACACCATGAATAGCATTGTCTGAGAAAGAGATAGGGTACCTCAACCTTCTGTCTTAACCCAGGTCGCTTTAATGTTTTCTTACTTTATCTTTGAGCTGGTTGCTTTTGTTTATTGAAGTCACATTTAATTTTAATCTCTTTAATGCATCTATAATTTATAACATTAATTTTCGTTTTATGTCTTGCTCGGCGAATGCATTAAACACTCAGTTGAAGTAAGCGCTCCTGTCCTGTCCCCTCTTCTCTTCTTTTCTTAGTGCTTGCGCTTTTGATTTTTGATAATGTATAACCAACTAGCCCAACATTTAATTTTGATCTAGTGTCGGTGCTCTGAGTTAGCGCTGCCTCGTGGGTGGGAGGAGGAAAAGGTTGGGTTGCACTCGCAGAAAAGCAGCGACGCAGTGCCAATATGTGGTGGAAGGTCAGCGCTGCATCCGTAGTACTCAGTTAGCACCCTGCTGTATGAGTGAACAGACCTTTCAGTGAAGAGTAATTCACCCAAACTACTTTTTAGGGAAGCATGATTAGGGCTGTATTCTAGCTCTGTGCTCCACCTGGGGGGTTTCGTGGAATCGTTTGGGAACGCACGGGTTTGGGGGAAAGTTTCCAGGGGTGACTTTCTAACGCATTTTGAGTTTTTACGAGAACAACTTTATGCATCGGAGCTATGTATAGTCGCAGACCGATTTTTCTGACTTTGCAGGTTCCGAAAGAAACGTCCAAATACTAATAGAGCAGTCCGAAAAACCAGCAGACTAAAAACTTGCCTTTATTACGTCCAAGCAGGCTTAAAAACGCCGTCAATAGTGCCTTGCTTCAGGTTACGCCTCCGCTTGCATTCGGCCACTTTCTATTAGCTTGAGAATCGCCGCCTTCTTTTTAAGCATTACGGTCGAGTAGTACTTTCCGTGCTTTTTAGTGATACTTTGTGGCGGCGGAAGAACAAATGGGGCCACGACGTCCAGGCCGGCATAGTTTGAAAACACGATTTACCGAGATGAAAGGCGCAAGTCCATGATTACAGAATAGCGAATGAACAAAGCAAAATGCTAACAGTGATGATAATGACACGCAGCTGGAGAAAGGGAAAGCCGTAGCGTGGCGTCACCTAGCGGTAGGACTTAGCAGTATCCAAGTAGCACTGCCAAATTAAGCCAATCCATGTGCAGCCAACGTAGAATCTAATGGCGGCTTCTCGATGGCATTTCCCTCCGATCGCTCGCGACAATTTTGTCAGAAGAATTAAACTGTTGGACTTAGAGCTGTCTGAAACATCGGTTGTGATTATGCGCTAGTTCTATCGTGTAGGTCACTGTTCGTCCTTTAGGTCGGAAATATCGAACAAGTCCGAATTATCGGTGTCCAAAAGATCGGTCAACGACTGTAGTACTCGCAAGCATACTGGTCATTTAAAACATTGTTGTCTTCTCATTTTTTACAGAAAGAAAAGTTTGTAAAGCTTCTAGACCAGTTGCATAATTCTCTAAGAATCGACCTTTCTATGTACAGAGTAAGTACTACCACTTTGCCCCTTTCTTTTTTGTTCTCAAGAATGCATGCACTCGTCAGCTAGGGGTATACTAGAGTACAAGGAAAGAGTTTTTTTTTTCTGAAAATGAGCCCGATTTCTGTTGATTCAAGTGATTACTCTTTCAGAATAATTTCCCTGCATCGTCTCCAGAGAAGCTACAGGACCTGAAGTCAACAGTGGACCTTCTCACTAGTATCACCTTCTTCAGGATGAAGGTATGCTTGCACTGCAAAGATTTTGCCTTCAAGCAGAAACAGTGATCGAGCCTGAAGGATGCCATTCTATAATGTTTAGTTGAGTCGAACATTGTTATTTTGATATCCTACATTGACATCTGTTACTTCTTTTGTAAGCAACACCCTTTTTTGAACACTGCCATTTGTGGCATAGAAATTTCCGAGTATGTTAATACGCCTGAGCTCAGCATTGCAGCGGAAGCCGTTCATCCCTACGTATTTGAGGACTTCCTCGGCAGCCATTTTCCGATTTAAAATTTCCGAGAATCGCCGATAACTTCCTTATTGTTCTACGGCTAAGTTCCGAAACTCGGTCCTCTGGCCACGACGGCTAGTGCTACGTTTCGGCCGAGACTGGGCATTCGGTGATGCATAGTTTGTTTCTGCGGTGAGAAAAACATGGTTCCCTTTTTTCCTAACCACCCTGTGCCCCTCAATACCACCCGGTCGTCGCGCAGGTGCAAGAGCTGTCGAGCCCACCGAGGGCGAGCACGGTGGTGAAGGACTGCGCCAAGGCGTGCCTGCGGTCCACGTACCAGTTCCTGTTCGAGAACTGCTACGAGCTGTTCAACCGGGAGTTTCAGGTGGACAGCCAGCAGGGGGAGAAAGATGAGGACCACGGCCCCAGTCTGCACAACCTCGACTTCTGGCACAAGCTCATCGCCCTCATGGTCTCCGTCATCGAGGAGGACCGCAACAGCTATGCCCCTGTGCTCAACCAGTGAGCGCTGCCGCCATCTTTTTGCGATTGACGGATCCAGCTTTGTTAGGTCTACTCAGTTGTGGAACTGCACTGAAAACTGGATCCATTCCGTTGTGGAACCTCACCGAAAACACAGGAACCCTGTGCGATAGAGCCAGAACTCTACTGCACACATTGCAACTTGTCCTAAAGCGACAACTTTTTATAAAAACCCTGCAAGAGAGAGCCAGCAGTACAGACCGTTTTTTTGTGCAATTTATCGAATTTGAAGACCGACTACTTGAATAACCGGGTTGTGTTACTGGGCTTTTTGGTTTTTATAAATATTCGGATACTCGAACAAAGTGTGCACAACCAATGACATAGCACTGCGTAGAGTGGGGGGTTCAGCTGGTAAGCTTTGTAGTAACATTACCCTGTATCCCACCCCCGCTACGGAGGAACAAGGGCTACATAAGAGAGTAGGAACTGATTATTGATAGAATAATCCTGTAGTAGATGCTGTGCATTTCACCATCAGATTGCATGCGCGGCAGCATTTTAGAGGAAACGGTCCAATGCCACCGAAGAAGAAGATGAGGTAAAGAGTGTGTGCGGTGGCAGGCCGAAGCCGACCAAGCTTGACGTGCACATGGCACACCCGAGCAGAAGGCTTTGTGGCAGCCCGTTGCCATCAATGCAGAAAATGCTGCTCGTTCAAAGCTCCGTCGAGCGCTATCGCATTTTCATTGCATTTGATGGAATGTCTAAGCTGGGTGATTGTGTGTGCAAGCAGAACAGTCTGAATCAAACATTTGAGAGCCTCTACATTAAAAGACAGTTTCGCCTGGTTAGGCCCACATTTTCAGCTGCTCTTACCGTGCCTTCTCTTTGCTGCAAACGTGCAGTAAACGTGCCCGACTCGTGAAACGCTGCTCTGCTTCCAGGTTCCCTCAAGAGCTCAACGTCGGGCAGTTGAGTGCCGTGACGATGTGGAGCCTTTTTGCGGTCGACATGAAGTATGCCCTAGAAGGTGAACAACCTGGATTTTGGTTTTGCTTTCTAACTGCCATATTTGTGTCCTACTTTAGGACTGCAAAGCTTAGCATTTGGCTCATTAGAGGTAGGAGTTGGGGGTTACATGCAGAAATCTGAAGCTTTCAAACCTCCCACTTTCTTTGTTCCCTTTGGTATCTCTTACAAGTTTCTGGGTGTTGCAGTTTTTCTACTCTACAGGGCTTTCAGCCTTTGGTAAAAGTGTCCACGTACCATTGCACGTACCATTGCACGTACCATTGATAGAATGTCCATTGTTTGGCTGCATTCATGAAAGAGCAATGGTCTCTTGTTCTGCGCTCGAACAGTGATGCATATAATCAAGATTCGATTGCTCTCGTATCGGTTCCAGGGTTTAAAAGCTAACTCTTTAAACAGTCCCTTCAAACCCCCTTAGACGGCACATGAAAATTGCTGCATTAAGCTTAAGGATACGCTAAAGGGGTTTGTGACTTCGTTGACGTGATCTCCAACTTGATCTACGAGCAATTGGAGATAGTAGAGCTTGAATTGCGCCTTTTTTGGTGAGAACCAGGACTGGCATGGGTAAAGTTTTAAAGTTTTGGAACTCCGTGAGGCACGTTAAATTAGGTTGGAGCTAAACAAACCCAGAAGTTTCTTTGGTGTGCCTCTAAGTAACTTACTGTTGAAGAGAAGGGTCGCGAGTGTTTTGACTCCAGTATCCTTTTGTTTTACTCTCGGGTTTCTGTCAGGCTTATTGTGGCTTGTTTCTAGATTGACCCCAATCTGGTGCTTTTTTGCTTCCCTCGCCACCAACTCCCATTACTTGTTTAGGTTTTGCCACAAAAATCCCCCTGCTTGTTTCAAACAAAGCGGACCGTTTCGAACTAGGTTGAATTCCCCAGTCAAGCCCAGCCGTGCTAACTACACGTCATGTCAAAACAATTCTGTTATACTCTCTCGCTGTAGTGCCTTCGAGCACTGCGGTAAATAAAGAATATTAATATCTGGCGCTGCAACCAGTCCTACGGGGCAGTGCCTCAAATTTGATATTGATGGACTGATCGCATTTGTTTCTGGTCGACTACCCGTCTACTGTCTTATTACGGACAGACGGGCGGAAGTTTAGTTTTATGGGAGGTTACCGAAAAAGTTGCAAAGCCGCAGTGAAAGTTCGTTTACGAAAAGTTGTCTTGAGACACTCGTATCCAATGAAATAAAAAAAGACTGACAACAGCATAATTTCGTGGAATGTAATTCAAGGAGCCCCAGTAAGTAGGCGAAAAATATAATCGTACGGGAACTTGCGCAAAACGATCACATTACAGGAAACCTGACAATGTTCCGTAATATTATGTTAGATCCTTCAGACTCTAGTGTTAAGAGAACAACCAATGTGGGCATGCTCTAGGGAACGTCTTTAGAACCGATTGTGAGATTAGACGGGGAAGTCAGACAATCTGGTGTGACTACAGAGGGAGGAGGTCTGATGAAAGACGACTTCCTGAGCAACTTCCGGCATGTCTGTATGAGTGGGATAGCAAACGTAATCATCCAGGAGGTTTCTCTAGAACCAGCCAGTGTGAGAATGTTAGACGGAGAAGTCACAGAAACCAGTGTGACAAGAGGTGTGTCGGTGTAAGCGGTGCAGGCCCGACTTTAGGGGAGGCCCCCCCGCCCCCCCAGACCCCCACCCCCATGTCTAACCGCTGGGACTGTGTTTTGAACCCTCTTTGCCTCCCCCCTTAAAGGACACCTTTCCAAGGCTGGTATGTACCGGTGATGCGACTGGATCCCTTCTTTGGACCCTCTGTGTCCGACCCTAGGAGCCTGCAGGTAGCGGCGGGCGCGGCGCCACCCCGAAACGCCGGGCGACTGTTGCAGGCCATTCCACGCGCCCTTCCCTGAAACCCCAAAGTGACAACGCATGCCCACAAAAAACTTTTTTTTTTTAGCTGCCTGGGGAGGACATGTATGACAGAAAACATACGCTGTGCCAAAACCTCAGCACAGGTGTCTGTTCTCATGCATTTGTTGACAGGGTGTATGCCGACCAAGAAAGCCTGAACTCGTCCGGATATCTTATCGGGACATTACGGAGAGTTAAAGCAAAACAGCTTGTTAGGAGAGGCATGTAGTTGCATGCCTCGCCACAAGATGGCGCCACAGCGGCATTGCGAGGACGCCTTCCGTGAGACTCGAGAGGTGGCGCGCGGGATGCACAGCTGTGGGGGGGACATCACAGACTGGGGGAGAGCATGGGGCGAACGGAGGACGGGGCGGGCGGGTGCGCAAAGAAAGGAGTTCCGTTTGTACGAGTGCCTTTGTTCCGAAACCGTGAGCGAGCTATCGTGAAAAGCTTGCTGGGCCCTGACAAGATTGAGGGACTGTCACTTCTTTAGCGCTAGCCCGCGCGAGCACAACTGTTGGGTGTATCGACAACTCTCTTATTAAAAAGCAAGAAAATAGCAGATCATATCGAGATACCTATAGACGTTCTTAGTCTAAATCATGCTCTTTTGGTTATCGTTATCGCAATCCCTCTTTGAACCAAACTTGGGAAAATTAGGGTCATGATCGTGGTATGCACATACACCCATTTCAAAAGTTTGGTCAAACTTGCGCAGTTAGTCAGATGCAGAATTCAAATGATTCAGGAATCCTGGATGCCGGACGCGGAATAAATTTTCTCATCTATGGATATAAATTGATGGCATTGTTTTCGAAAGTTCCCAATGCTGCTCTTACTACCGACCTTCCCAGACTGTGGCCATGATTGGCACGATTGGTCAGTTGGCCGTGGCGCCGGGGAAGGCCTGCACTCGCCTGGGGCGTTTGGGTGGCGCCGCGTCTGCAGTCTAGACTAGGTGGCATTTAGGGGCCGTGCCCGTCTAGGCGCCTCTTGATGCCCCTTGCTTCTGCTTCTTCTCTGCTTTTGTTCTGAGTCTGGTGGACGTTGGCGGGATGCGTAGGCGCCCTCGACTCGCTTGGCTCGGAAGCGGCTCGGGGCACTTGCCCCACTTTGTTGTGTGTTGTCATGGCTCCTCGATCAATCAATCATAAATCACATTATGGTGATCAGTCTATTAATTAGTTCATCATTATATACATTGAGGCAGTAAATTAATTAATTAGGCAATCACTCATTCAATCATAATTCACATTATCACAATTGGCAATAAAATAGTTTGTCTTTCAGACATTTTCTTAATCAATCATAATTCACATTATGATAATCAATCCTAATTAGTTGATCGTAATTTACATTGCAACAGTAAATAATTAATTAGGCAATCACTCATTCACTCATAATTGACAATTGGCAATAAAATAGTCCGTTTTTTCAGACGATTTTCTCAATCAATCATAATTCACATTATGGTAATCATTCTATTAATTAATTCATCAGCATTTACATTGAGGCAGTAAATTAATGAATTCAGCCATTAGCCATTCAATCATAATTCACATTATGACAATTGGCAATAAAGTAGGTAGTCTGTCTTCCAGACAATAATTTTCTCAATCAGTCAATCATAATTCGCAATATGACAATTGGATGTCAGATATTTCGTGAAGCCTTGGGTTCTTTAGGTATCTGATGAGGCAGTCTCATGGCAGCCATCTTGGGAACCTGCCAGTTTCTTTTTCTTTGTTTTTGTTTTATTATTCTTCACCAGAGAACATCAACCAGATTTATGACTAATCCATGATGTAGTTTTTAAGTTATTTTCTTGCTCGCACATTGTGTTTTAGTGGCAGGTTTTTTTTAATGGTATTGACGATTACCAACTATTATTAAAGTGGCGGCGTGGACAGCGTGCTGTTTTATGGAAAACTTGTTAGGTAAGCTTTGGCGAATGTCTTTCAAACATCATATTGTTCTGTTGATAAGGCCTTTTTTTTTAAGAACTGGATTTGAAAGTAAATTTAATCTTTCACACTCTTGCAAGAGGAAAAACGGCAGCATAATCCAGAGACAAAAGTTATGAAAAAAATAGACTTAATATTTAAACTAATTTTTTCGAGAGACCGGCATATTTCTTGCACGTACCTTTACGTATTGGCATCGCCGCCGCATGTTATTATTCTATTTCAAAATTATTTAAGAGGATACAATATAAACCAGCTACCAACTTCCAATCCATTATTAATATTGAAATGTTTATGCATAATTTTCAAACAAAGGGTGTGGTTTCCATCTTCTTTTTTTAGAGATACCATACTTCTGAAGGTTTCCAAGAGCCTTGTTTTGTAGTAAAGGCGAAACCTTTCCCAAAATTAACCCTAAAAGAATTTCATATTTTTATTCTTTCAAGAAAAACTTGATTTTTTTTTTTTGGTCAATTAAATTGAGCAAAGATAGAGAGAGGTAAGTGGTCACTTTATTCAAGACCTATGCGACCCAAAAATCTGAAGAGAAACGGTTGGAGATTTAGAGTATTCTCAAAATAGTTGATGTTTGACTGTAAACACCAGCTCACACATGGATTGCAGTGCTGCGGATAAAGAAAAGTCAGCTCTGCATCAGTGCTACTGTCAGCCCCGGTCCAGCACTGAGTTAGCACACCATTATGTGCATAGGCAGGAAAAGGCAGAGCGCCAATATAGCACTGACATAGTGCACAGTCAGTGCTGTGTCTATAGCACCGAGTTCATACCGTGGTGTTTGTGTGAGCACGCCTTAATCCTTAGAACTTTAACAATGCATATTGCGGGTAGAAGGCAGCGGTAGGACTTTGGGGCAAGCGTTGGAGCTTTCTTCCGAGCCCTGCGAGTTGTTCGGCCGGTGACCTAGCGTCTGGTCCTTGGGAATTGCGAGCATGGCGTGTGACTGGTGACAGAGTCTTCGCATCGTGACGCCGCTGCGGTAGAGGAAACGCCTGTCATGCTGTTGGCCGAAGAATGTCGTCTTCGGGGAAAATGGAACCCTGTGGATTGCGCGTCGGGCCCCATTGCCAGACACAGCCGGCTTCCTGCTGCCCTTGGTTTACTTCAATGAAGGCTTGTGGAACTCCGATACCCATGCCAAAAGTGGCCAAGATACCAGTATATATTGGAATGAAATTTACAAATTGATGTTCTTAAGTTCTTAATAAATTATGATATCAAGGAGAGTGAACTAAATTGCAGCATAAACTAAATACTTAGGCACCTCGACTGAGTACAATAAAAGTCTTGATGTGATTTCATAATTATATTTACAAGCTGCTTTTATTAAATATGGCTGTAATAATGATCTCATATAGATTAAATAGTTTACAGTACAAACTGTACCCCATGTAAGTATTGTAAAAACTAATGCAGTTTTCAAAATAAATTTACGAGAAATGGCAAAAAATTCTTTCTGGGAAGCAGTTATTTGGATCGTTTTCTGTCAGGATCATGGCGAAATTTGTTCTTTGTTTGCCATTTATGTATTTGTTGCTTACTGCATTCGTTCCTGTCCCTCCTTAGAAGACTCGTCAAACTTGTGTATTCGGCATTTTGGAGACAACAAAACCTGAAAGGCGTGCCTCGTCTAAATCTACCATTGCAGAAGAGGACAATTTGGTTGTGAAGTTAACTTTGCAAGAAATTTTGACATTAAGTAACCTAACACATAGTAATCTGCTAAAACTCTCTCAGACCTCCTCGGTCGGAGCATCTAGGGCAGCTGGTTAGCTGGCTTTGTCTGGATTGGGACTTGGCTGTGAGGCTGTCTTGTGCTGCATCCAGTTTGTTTTCTCTCTCTCTCCCTCTCTCACTCGGAATGTCTCTAGGAACGCATAGTACTGCTGTCTGGACACCTTTCTTTACTGCTTTGGAGAGTAGTGCAGTCGCTTTGAGGTGCCTTGAGAGGCAGCAGTCATGGTACAATCTTCAGCAAAGCCCTGAAATAACTGCTTACTCGAACCCATTGCTTTTCTAATGGAGATTGTCTTGACTTTTGCCTAAGGACCTCTCCGCAGCGGATTTCGAGGCAGAAAAAACATGTTGCCATTTGCGATACGACCTGTCCTTTTTTTTCGCAGAACACGAGAACCAAAGGTTGTGCAAGAGTTCAGCGTACATGAACCTCCACTTCAAGGTCAAGTGGTTCTACAACAACTATGTCAAGGACATTTCTCCCTACAAAGACTCGGTGCCTGAATACCCTGCGTGAGTACACCTCTGCCAGTAGCAAACGGTAAACTCGCTGAAGAACTTCACAGTGTCACCGAGTGACAGAAGAAACTCCGGGCATTTGTGAGAAAAGAGAATCGTGTTTTTCGGCTTGTGGAAATAGTCGCAGAAAGCTCGAACCCTGCGGAAACGTGATGCTAGCGTTTGGGATAGAACGTGAAAGTTTGAGAGCATGGTATTACTGGATCCAAAGATAATTGTGAAAGACTATATTTTTTTTATGCACTGAGCATCCTTTTGAGTCTAATATTGCTAAAACAAGAACTGGGATTGTGGACACGTGTGGCATTTACACCAGTGAAAAACACCTGTCAGCTAGAAAGAGAATATTGTAGCGTGAGCTACACTGGCCAAGGTTGAGCAGTTTCGTGTGGCTTCTGGAGAGCCGTGCTGCGCATGCGCGAGGAGCAGTGACGTCGCATGGTGCACAACTGGCGCGCCGGAGCCGCCGCCGCGCTGCGCTGCGCTGCGCCGGTCTGCGCATTTCAGAGGAGTGACGTCATAGCCGCGGCTGACGCACTGGTGCCGCCGCGTGGCCAGCTGTGCGCCTCTATTGCGCAGTAGCCAAGTCTGACGCTGCACCGGAGCCGCTTGATAGCTCCTCTCATTTTCGTTTTTGTTTTCTTTCTTGCTGACTGTTCTTTTCACTGGAATAGATGCTACAGGCACCTACAATGTGATAATTATTGTTTTGACGATATTAGGTTTAACTGGCCATCGGCGCATAGATGAATTTTGTCTTTCCTTTTTATCTTCTGATCCAGGTAATGTCATGTTCTCAAACTTTTGTATCCTGTCCCAAATGGTAGCGTCACATTCTTACGAAGTTTGAGCTATATATACAATGCGTAGTTTGTTTATGTTGGCCAAAAAACATGGTTCTTTGTTCTTATGAATGCCCAGTATGTGGAAAGGAGTATGTGAATCAATTTTCCAACTGCTGTGAATTCCCATATTCAGGCTAAAGCGGTAATGTAGGCGAGTCGGCATAGGTTCATGATAAAGACCACAAGTAGCCTGCGAGATGTGACCCCATGTGGGTCAGAGCAGGCAATTTTTAGTTTGCTTTGGGCTGCTTGGCAACACTGGTTTCTTCCTCTCTTTCTTTTCTTTACAGGTGGTTTGAACCTTTTGTGATGCAATGGCTCAATGAGAATGACGATGTTTCTCTAGATTACCTCAAGAGTGCCTTCCTCCGTGACAAAAAAGACACTGTGAGTAGTGGACTTGCAAATGTTCCTGTGGCCACCTGATGGCTGCTTACGTCATCTTATGCCTATTTCCTCCCTCTGCGTTCAGCTTTTTACAGCGGAGCTGTTAAGGGCTAGTTTCCCCAGGATCGTGACCCCCGCAAAAAAATGAAGACACCAAACTCTGGACACCTAGTGCCATCTATGAGCGACGGCGACAAGCCACGTATCTGGTTGCTGCCGTCGCTCATAGATGGCGGCAGCCTTCCCACTCTGGCTTGCCGACTTGCGGTTGGCCATTACTTTCCATTGTACAGCTCCGCTGGTCTTCCTTCCTCACCAGAGTGGAAAGGCTGAAAGTTTTTTAATTTCTTTTATCATAAATATGTGAGCACTCGTTGAGGTCTTTCAAGACAATAGTGTCAAAAGAAAACATCAATTAACTCAAGTTTATAAACTGCAATAGCGAAGATACGAATATAGTGGAGCATAGTTGAAGTATGCTGCCATTACTGTTCCAGGCATTTCAGGTGCTCCCATAGTGGCGACACTGCTCTAGGATGCCTCACCCATTTTTTTTAGAGGTGCAGCACTTCTTCTAGTACTTGATACCAATAGTACGCGCTCGCGCTGGGAAAAGACAAAAGAGTAGCAGGAAACAAAATGCTATCGTAGAACAGATAAAAAGTAAGAGCTCGAGCTGGGAGACGGTCTTTTGTATGTCTCGGTGCAAAGAAGAAAGAATACCAATATTTTGAAAACATTTTCCCTGAAAAGCCGGCCTTACTGTTGGAAAGGTTCTGCTCTATGTGGATTTTGACATGGAGCAAGATTCTAACGTCTCAATGTTTTCCATTGCAGTTCATTCAGAGCTCGGAGCACGCCCTGTTTTCCAATTCCGTGGTGGACGTTTTTACACAACTCACGCAGTGCTTTGACGTCATTAGCAAGCTAGAGTGCCCAGACCCTGAGATTGTGAAGCGCTACATGAAGCGCTTTGCTAAGGTGAGTGTTGCTTTGTTGCAGTTTCATTTGGTACACTTCGAGTCGGTGGTACCATATTTTCTGGACTCTAGTCCGCGCTTGGTGTGCACTCCCCAAACCAAATTTCGGCTGAAAACTTTCTTTTCTTTAGAAACAGTAATTTTATTGTCATAACAAAGTCATCGGGATGGCAAAAACCTTTTATATAAGTGGTAATTCGATAAAAGCGATAGAGCAGGAAAAAACAGTGCCAGCAACCTTGAAGGTGGACGGGAAAACTGTGGAACACTCTGACCCTATATTGAATCAAACAAACCCTGGTTATGAACATCCTGTGGCAGCTTTACCGAATAAAAAAATAATTAAGTGGAGTTTGCCAATAATTTTATTTGAGCATCAGTTCTCCTCGAACTGCTCCAGGCATCGCAAGAACACTGTGACCGCCGCTGCATTCTGCTTTGTATCGAAACAGCCGTAGGACGTTTCGCGTCTCCTCAGTCGTCGACGTTTCCCGAGGTGCCTCTCCCACGTCGCTTCGCGTTTACCCTGGCCGCACGCAAGGTCTACGATCGCAGCATCCGTGACGGGAGCAACAAAGGGAGCGTCCGCATCGACAAGCGCAAACAAATCAAAGTTATCTTCGGTGGCTTTGCCAACATGTTTTCACACACTCCTGCAGAAATCGTTGCAGGTATGGAAATCGTGCACCGACTCGGCAAGCATGCCCACGAGAAAAAAATCCGACATGCAGTTGGTGATCTTTCATCTCCGGGTCATGGGTGCGCTTTCTTCTGCATAAGAAACTTCTCGAACCCGTCCAGTGTGCCTTGCTTGTTCTGCAAAATGGTGGACAGTGTTGAACAGCCGATGCCGGAATGTCAAATTTTTTGGCGATTTCGGACTTTAAGTTGGCCTATTTTCTCAATCTCAAGTGACTTTCAGTAAACACTCCCAAACTCCCGTACGACGCACGAGTGTGTAGTGCGCCGCAGGCGCGCGCGTCGGGGACTTCCGAAGGGATGATCTCTTCCGGGCTCCATCGCTCTCTTGGCCCGATTCTGACAGGAGTCGAGCAGCGTCTGCTGCTGGCGCTGGAAGTAGCGTTGGAACGTAGACGCTGCTCCCTGCCCGTGTACCCGCGTCGATGCATCGGCACTGAAAGCAGCGCTCTGCCAGCTCTGTGCGCTCTGGCCTCCGTCACCCATTTGCTCCGTTTTCCCAATTTGCCGTTTGCCTTGACGGAGAAGGGAGAGGGAACGCGAGGGTCTCTTGTGTGCCTCCGTGTAGGCTTGCGTGCTTTTGGTACCGCAGCCTTTGTAAGAAGCGTGGTTGGCTGCCGATACACTTCGAATATTCCGGAGATGCGTGCATTTTGGTCGGGACCGTGTAATAAAAGCAATCATTAAAAAAAAGCGGGATGACTGTATGTTTTTGTGCATAGTCCACACCCGGTGCTTAGCCTACAGCTGGTGCATCATCCGCATGTAAAATATTTTCATACAGAGCACACCTTGGAAAGTGCCTGCACCGTTGGCACACAAAGAAGCCTGTATTTCCAGAACTCGTTATTGGCATAACCTGTCACTCACAACATCTGTCACATCTCTCATAAGGAATGATCTTGTAGCAGTGAATCATTGTATAGTGTGAACAGCATAAAATTTAAACTTTTAAGTATGTACAGTCTGCGGACCATAGTCCAGAAATTATGGTAGATGGGGAGACGACTTCGAAATTCAACTGATATTTTGGTTCCCAGTGACAGTAACACGAACCGTGTGAAATAAATATATTAGCATTCAGGAAAAGCCATAAGGGGCTGGTGACGAGCCAAACATTTTTTCATTTATACGAAAGTATGTCGTCTTATCACATTTCCTGTGCTGTCTGCATAATATTGATGTCAATTGACTGTAGTCTCGCCGGGTATTTGATTTTCATTGCCTTGCGTACGAGGGCATTGATATGGGCTACGAAAATGGAAAAGAACAAGAAGGAATAAAAAATCGGGAATGGTTTTTTGTTTCATGGAGTTTGGCAGCCATGCATACATTGGCTCACCCAATGTTGCTTTTTGTTCCAGACAATTGTGAAAGTACTCACTGCTTATGCAGACATTGTAAAGAAGGAATTTCCAAATTACGTCTTGCAGGAAAAGACGGTGAGTCCGTTTACGTATTGTGGCGTTGCACGCCTAACATTTCACGGAAGTAACGGCTAAAACCCGGATGACTTTAATTTTGCCTGTATTTACTTGCTCCTTAAAAGAAAAAAAAAAAAATGAAAAAAAAAACAAGCTTTGCACAAAGTTTATATGCTGCACGAAGCTGTTCTTACAAGATTTTGTTGCCAAAAAACAAGAAGCTATGGAAAGCAATTCAGTGCACATCTATTTTTGTAAGCTGTTGTCTTTTGACATAATAAAAAAAGTCTCATATGTCATGTTGATGCTACATTATTTTTTCCTTTTTTTGTCAAATTGTAACCAAACAAAAGTTGCAGAAAAACACGATTTCCTTTTATTAATTCTATAATCTTCTTTGCTGGTCCAGCTTGACTCGTATTATTGGCGAATTTCAAAAGTGCAAAAAGCTTGAGAACGTTCCAATTGTGTGCAACTCTTGTCTTTTAGGCATGCATTTTAATGAACAACATTCAGCAACTAAGGGTGCAACTTGAGAAACTTTTCGAGTCTATGGGAGGTGAAAAGGTGAGTGAATCTGCCATCCTTCTTTTTTTAATTTAGGATATTACTTGGTTTGTGATTATTAGTTCTTTGTTTGTGCAGTATATATATTTAAGGTAAATGAACTGAGCAGTTTGTGAAAGTTTTTAGATATCGGAACTTTCCAGCGTGCCAGCTCATTGTCCAAGTCTTAGATTTTTCCAAGTGAGAATTTGTAGAACTAGTATCATCTAGTTTCATCTATCATGTTATAGATTTTGTGTTGTTATAACTTCATTGTTTGCTACAATAATGTATTAAATTTATGTTTGATTTTTAGAACGCAGCTTTTAGGCGCCCATTTCCGGCTTGAGCGGCGTCGGCGTAACTGCGCGTAACCCTCACAACCCTCATGATGGTTATGAGGGTTACTCTCACGAGGGTTACCCTCACGAGGGCTACTCTCGTAACCTTTGTGAGAGTAACCCTGGTGTCCCTCATAACTCTCACGAGGGTTGCGAGAGTTAGTTACCCTCAAAAGGGTTACTCTCACGAGGGTTATGAGAGTTACCCTCACGAGGATTATGAGAGTTACCCTCACGAAGGTCACGAGAGTTACCTTCACAAGGGTTACTAGGGTTGCCCTCACGAGGGTTACCCTCATGAGGGTCACGATGGTCACCCTCACAATTGTCATAAGGGTTACCCCCAGAGGTCACGTGACCCCCCCCCCCCCCTGAGGTCATGTGACACCCCTGAGGTCATGTGACCCCTCTGAGATCGCGTGACCTCAGGGAGTCACCTATTTCTCCGTACCCTTCCCTCCTCCTCAAGAGCTGCGCTCTGATCCGGCGTTACAGGGAGTTGTAAACGGCTTTCATTTTTTTTATCAAGAGAAAAATAACATTAGATCTAAATTGTTCAATAAGGCTCTCTATTTTGTGTCCTTGCAGTGTGCAACTTGGATATATTTTGTTTAAAAGGCATTGCATGTTAGGAGGTTGTATAGGTACTTCTAAACTTCTCCAAAAAATGGTGAATACGTAAAATGAGAGAAACAACAAAGAAGATGCAGGCAAGCTGGTGAATTGTAAATTTTGAGCTTTTATTTATATTTAATGGCCATGGTGCCATCACACTCACTGGGTTGTTCAAGACAAGAATAAGTCTCATCAACCAGGAGTCTAGAAATATTTGCCAAACAGTTCTTTTTATTTTCACCCGGGATGTGACTGCACAAGTTATGGTACTTTGGTTTTGACCCCTGCTTTAGTAATCACAGTGGAGCATTGAAGGGTTTGTGGGCTGAGTTTGTTGACAATCTATTTTTCGTTCCATGTACTCTGGAGCCGCAATACCTTTCCCAATAATGTTACTTCTTTTCCGTTCTCATATGCAAACTTTTATATATGGGACGAAGGAAAATGGGAAATAAATATAAAGTATTCTTTGCACTTTTCAGCTGGAGTCTGATGCAGGGAACATATTGAAAGAGCTTCAACAGTCACTCAATTGCGTCCTAGATGACCTTAGCATAGTGTTCGCAAAAAGGTGAGTCATGTGTTGCTTCTTTTCATCAACCAGAGGCTCTACGATATTTTGTATCTGTTGAAACCCTCGGAATTCTTTGAATGGCTGTTTGGACTTGTTTTGTCAATGCATGTAGCATTGACGAGACTACACTTGGTCCGTAGTCCATAGGAATCACATTTTTGGGCTTCGTCCTTTCGGATTGCTGAATCGTATGTCCCATCTGGTGTCATGCATTATATAATATTTGACGCAAAGCATCGTATGTCACCCAAGTGCGGTGATATGTGTTTCATTAATGTCACGCTGCTGTTATATGGGACACATGACAACACTTGTGACACAGGGTACAGGCTTCTTGCACCTGACGTAACTTCCGGTTTGTCTCGAAAGCAAAACCATCATTGTCATCTGCCGTCAGTGCCTTGGCACCATGTTGGAGGCATTTGGCATCTTATTGCGGCAGCAGTAGTGCTGTAGAACCCTGGCATTTGCCTCGCTCGCATTTGACGATAAAACAAATTGGTGGCGAACAGCCGATGGAACACAGGTCAGAATAAGTGTGACTTGTGTCTGACATCCTCAGATGGCAGCACCTTGCAAGAGTGCCGTCGGATGGCAAAAAATGTGTTGTTTGCTAATCATTTGCAGTGACTGACAAGAAAATTAGTGCCGCTACGTATACGTGAAATTATTGGGGGATATTGTGCATAATTTGTCAGCAGTGTAGCCAGTCCTGCAACTTTTTGGCTGGCAGCACTGATAAAGACTGGAGCTGCTGCACAAGTAATTTGGTTTGCTCTACTTGTCCTAGTCAATTGCAAGGGGCTTCCTCACCTGACTTGAAGTGCAGTCCACAAAGCCTTAGTTGGTAGAAAGGTTTTCTGTCAAGACTGTGCCGGCGTATTCGTTGGAGCTATTCATGGTACCACAAAACATAGCGACGAATGCCTCCAACATGAATTCCGGCAGGTTCCGGCGAGATTTCCGAACCGAAAGTAGTGTTGCATCATGGTCTCGTATGTTCCATGTGGCATAGTCAAACTTTGATCTTGAGCAACTGCACCTTTTGGGCATTGCCTTTCAGATGATTCAATGGTACCTTCCATATGGTATCTTATACTGTTATGTGTCACATTGCACAATATGTCACACACGTAACATTGCACGTCCCTGGAAATTTCATGCTATGTGGGACACATGACACCACACGTGATGCACAATACCGTGCGACTTGCGACGCGATGCGTGCGGCACCTCCTTGCGACGCGTGCAGCGTCTCGTGCATGTGTCACGCAAGTCCCAACGGTTCCTGCGGTCTCCTTTCAGCCTGGAGCCGACCATCAAGCAGAGCATGGGAGAGCTGAGTGCCCTGCTCATGGGCGTGAAGGGCAGCGGCCAGGTTTCCATGAACCAAACGTCGCAGCGCAACGAGGTGACGGCCGAGGCAGACCACGTGCTACACCCGCTCATGGACATCCTAGACGGGAAGCTCACCATGTTTGCACAGGTCTGCGAGCGCACCGTGCTCAAGCGTTTGCTCAAGGCAAGTCTGTCCTGCCTCTTCTTTGCCGAGTGTGTGTCTATAAATAATAATGATGATAATAAAAGGAACGTGCTGTTTTCAGTAGCGACTTCCAAGAATCAGGAAATAACCACTCAGGGTATCTATGCCTTGTTGGAGATGTTGGGGAAGCATTAGGAAATTCTGTGGGGCCTTCGTTGACCCATGAGGCATTGAGCATGAACCATTGACTCATGACTAAAAGTTCTTGCATGTTTAGTTGTGAGAGGTGACTAAGATACATTTTTAACAAAACCCTCTTCTCTGGCAAGAGACTACACATAGTTGGCCCAACTACAAGTTTATGGTCTTTTATTCTCTGTTTGAGGAGTTGGTTATAGATAGGCCATACTATAACAAGTTGCAATGATGAAAGTAGCCATTTTTGTCGGTGTCCCGCTTATCACTGTTTTCCAGTGTCATTCCGATAAATGACGGAATTTTGGCCTTTCCAAGGTCTTGAGGCGCTGCTGCAAGCTCTTGAGCAAATGTGGCTTTGCCATAGCTGAATGGTTTCATAGTCTGCTCCGAGCTAACCCTTGTTGGTCAACCGTTGCAGGAACTCTGGAAGATTGTGATGCACACGATGGAGAAGACGGTCGTGCTTCCACCAATGGGAGAGAAGAATGTGAGTGAAACACTGGTTTCTGTGCGTACAGTAGACTCGCGGTAATTTTAACTCAGATATTTCATACTTCTGGTTAATTCGAAAACAAGTTTAAAAATTTTGGTCGTCCCACAATGTTTTTAATGTATTCATAAGCCGCTTAATTCGAGTAGAGTTTTCGTGCAATTCATATTTTTTGTTCTCGCGGCCCCGTTGAGTGCACTTCTTTCCGAGCGCCATTGCACTGCAGAGGGGCAAGACCCGTGCATGTTGCTTCTCCACAGTGCACCGGTGCTCGGTGGGAAGCGCTCTCAACAAGGCTCAAGCTGCCCACCATGAGCCATGAAAACGGGCACCACGCGGATATTTTCACAGCAACTTGCGCAGACGGTGTGACGTGGCAGCGGCATGGTATAGGTTCATGTCACAGCGTCCGTTGTTATGAAAACTGCCGCACGGTGCTATGAAGTTGCTATGGAAACTGCCGCGCTGTGCTCGTTGTCCTGACCCATGTGTCACCTGCCTTATAGTTGACATCAGACAACTTCTTGGCCTGATGAACAAACTTGATTTTGTTTTGGGTTGTCAGGTTCTGTCTAAGCAGTCCACAATAAACAACATCTTTGAGAAGTAAACAAACTTATGAAATACATTTCACAAATGTTTCATGCGTGGCATACCTGCTTATGATCGGTAGGCCTATGTAGAGGAAATCATCAAATATCTGCTTTGTATGTGTAGCCATTCATATGGCAAATCATAATTTTATCTTGCATCATATATAGATGAATTCCTGATTTATCAAACTTCCAATAATTCAAACAAAATTTGTGGCTTCTTGGAGTTTCCATTAATGAGAGTCTACTTTATGTCAAAATCTAAAAGGTTGAAGCCAACATTGTAATGTGACAGTAATGGATCATATTTTTCATCATTCATCAATAAATATTTAAAAAATTGCTGCAAAAATAAAAAAATTCCATCCAACTGAAAGCAAGCTAAAGTAATTCCAGTTCATAGATTGGGCAACAGAGAATGCGTTTCAAACTATGGACTGATCCCACATTGACATGTTGCAAATTACTGGAACATATAATCCTAAAGCACATAACTGCTTTCGTCGAAGAAAATGACGCCTTAAATGCTTGCCACCGCTTAAATGCCTGCCAGCACGGCTTCCGATCCGGCTTGTCAACCGTTGCCCAGTTAATTGAAAGCTTGCACGGTTTCTCCTCTGTCATAAATCGCAGAAGTCAGGTGGATCTCATCTTTTTAGATCTGTCAAAGGCTTTTGACAGGGTCTCTCGCAATAAACTATTTTTTAAAAATTAACAAAAATCTGAGACGACACTCAAGTAGTAAATTGGATTAGGGACTACACCTCTGGTTAATCTCAGTTCGAAGAAATTAGCGGAAATAGTTCAGTAAATAAGCTTGTGTGTTCCAGAGCACCTCAGGGCTCAGTATTCTTTCCTGCTTCTTTTCCTGCTCTATATAAACAGTATAAGAGAAAGCCTCGACATAAACATTAGACTCTTTGCTGAAAATTGTATAATACACTCTGAAACAATAAATCTTTGGGACCACTTAAAATTTCAGTGTGCTATAAACGAGATCTCATACTGGTGTAAAGAATGGCAGATGCTTATCAACACAAACAAGACAGTAGTCATGTCAAGTAGAAAGAAAAATAAAATAAATCACTCTACGATATCAAGGGAAACATTATATAAAATGTGCACGAATACTACTTGGGTGTTTTGTTCACAAGCGATCTTGACTGGGGCATGCACATAGATGCAGTGACTAAAAAAGCATTAACGAAGCTGGGGTGCCTAGGACGACTAAAGTGTGCATCGGGGGTACTGAACTTTTGGCTTGCACGACACTGATTTGGGCTATGCTTGAATGTGCTAGTCCTGTTTAGTATCCTTTCACAAAAACTAACATTCAGAAATTGTACAAAGTACAGAGACTCACTGTAAGATTCATTACCAATAAGTTTGGCATGCGTGATTCGCCTGTTGAACTCGGTTGAAGGCTTGGTATGCGGCCACTAGAAAAAAGAACTGAGCTCATAAGACTAATACTAATTTACCAAATAGCCAATAATATGACAAAAGTAGGCAAGTCAACTACCTTTTTTCCCATGATGGAAGAGCAACCCATTCATACCGTGGGAAATTATTCAGAGCTCCAGCCTACAAATAACGGCATCAAGTTTTCATTTTTTTCCTCTAGCCATTCAGGGATCAGGGGTGGAAGCGCTGCGCCAATTGCGCCATTGTGCTCCAATCCACTTTCGCTGCGCCATCCTGCTCCCAAGCGCACATGTTGCGCTAAAACTATCCAAACATGTTTTTTTTGTTTTTTTTTAAGGCTATATTTATTGGAGTATTCTTTATTCGCCACAGTGGTTTACCATGTTGTGTTCGTTTAGGTAATTCTGAACCGACAAAGCCTTTTAGCAAACCGTTACCGCGTACCGCGCACTGCCGGAGCCTTTGAAGCACGCTTCTAACCGTGCGCCGGAGTGATGCCGTGACCGCGGGGCGCGTGCTTAAAAGCATGCTTTCAAAGGCTCCGGTACTGCGCGGTACGCGGTAATGGTTTGTTAATTGGCCGTATTGATAAGAAACCATCATACCGATGTGGTCGTGTCAATTGCGTGGGAGTCTGATCTCCGAAAATGGCACAAGCGCAAGTTGCTTTGTCAGAGTACTCATTAGAACTCTGACAAACGGCAAAACGATGCTTCGATGCATCGTTTCGTCATTGACTTCAGTTGCGAGTCAGCCGTTGTCCTGTCGTATTGTTTACCCGTTCGTCGTCCCTGTTTTTCTGAAACTGTTTCTCATCATGTTCATCTTCTTTTTTTTTTTTTTTTTGCGCAGTGGCACTGAGCATGATTGAGTGTATTCGAAATACCACACACGCGCATTAAATCGCCGTAACGTCTCGTACAGACGCCCACCCTCAAATAATCACACATCTCGTTTGTTTTTTGTTTTTTTGCATTCATTGCGTTATTTGCGGTATCGGTACGCGACAAGCGCGCTCGCGGCGGGCTTTCTCGTGCTTATCGCACGGTGACACGCGAATCTGCAGCATCCGTACAATGCGGGGTGACATGACACGCAAATTCAAAATTCGTTGCCATTTTTTTTTTTGCACGCAATATTGGTTTTTGTGACACCCGAGTTTGTTTGAGGGGGCCGGGTTCTCGCGTCTATATTGCAGTGTGAAGCGCGAATGCGCTGCGTCCGCATTCTGCTGCCGTACCCGTTGACTGGGGAGTTCATAGCAAATTCCCACATATTTATTGCAGACGCGAGTTCGCCGTGTCTGCAATATGTATCAGTAACGAAAAGACAGTAAGTGCGTAGGCGAGCTGGCTATAATTAATCGTGGTGTTAAAAACCCAAGGTTGTGGTGAGGAAAAAGTTAGGAAACTTTGAAGTTGAAGAGTTCCCGTTTCACGTAGCTTGTAGTGCCCCCCCCCCGACACACACACACGCACACACACACATAGACACACACACCATTTCACTTTTAATTTTGGGTGGGCATTCTTTCAGGACCTCATTGTATATAAATGTACATAAGATCTTGCTGGCTTTTGTTCACCTATCATCTAATTTCTGGGGAAAGAAATAACTACTCTACAAAATTAAACATTGGGTATAATATATATTTATTTATGCGTGTTTTGGGCGATTGCTTTTGCTGAGGCTGCTTCCGCGTTCCTCATTCGTGTCGTAAACGTAAGATATAAAAGCGATACTTGGTTGCCTCAATCATCTGTAGAGTTTCGTGTACGTGGCGAATGCACCTGCTGGCACCCAAACAGCAAGCCGGCGGGAGGACATGGAGAAGAGTGGGAATGGACCTGCTGAGCGAAGCAAATTCTGAACCGTTGTGCTAGAACACATCCAAGCAATGCAGTGGGCAAGTCGTCTGCCTCTTGCACAGGAGATGCGGTGACTTCAGAACGACGCCGAGCTGTGATTGGTTTTGATTGAAAGGGTAGTGAGTAGACCTCAATGCTAAATGCCTTGAGGTATACCCACTTATTTTTTTAATCGGCCAATAAGAGTTCGCCGTTTTGACGTCACGCAACCCCTGTGCAAGATGCAGGCAAACTTGCGCTCCGCATTGACTTAAGGAAAACCTTCCATTTTATGGTCTTACTTGCTAGTTTTGTAAGTCAATTTTTTTTTAAACTCCTAGACAAGCTTTCTTGTTTCTTTTTAGTCAGTGATACCTGTTTTAGTAAGGGTTAATTAAGTGTGTATGTATGAGCAGGAATGATATAGGTAGTATCATGAAGTTTTCAATATTTTGCATTTGTACTTTTATCAGATAGAGTAAATTTGTACTCTATTGAGCATTGGAATACTTTTGATTTGTATTCTGTTGAGTATTGGAATACTTTGGTTGCTAAACAGGGACTTCAGAGATTTGTATTTCTTTATAATGAACTGTAGTCAGTATTGGACTTTATTCCATACCATACTATTGCAGCTTGAAAGGGTTTTGTTTTTAACTTATGAAACGTGCGATTTAGGTTGTTAAATTGTGAAAATGTTTTGTCTTCATAAGGCTTAAGTTGTTTTTCTTTAGTTGCATATGCCTACTATTGTAAATCCATCAGAGAAACCAACCCGTTACCACCAGGACAGTTCTCAATGGCAGCCATTCAAATACTTTTTATGCCATGGGCTGGAATATATTTAAGGAAAGGTCATGTTTGGAAATAGTTCTGGAACGTCACATGGCGATGCTTTTCTATTTATATTTATTTTTGTATTTCGAAAAACACATCTGTGCTTATAGCACCGAGTTTGAATCGGGTTACCAGCTCCAAGATATGCTTATACTGCTACGAAACTCGATTTTTGTTGCTTCTGAGCAGCTCCAAAGCTGAACTTTTACTGCTCCAAAGCTGAACTTTTACTGCTCCAAAGCTGCTTCAAAGGGGCATCTTTGCTGCTCCCAGACCTGCTCCAAAAGGCTGAAGCTTGCTTCCACCCCTGAGGGATGGAACAGCTTGCCCAAACACGTTGTCCACGCCAGCTCGCTAACACAGTTCATGAATAATGTTGAAGTGCTATTGATGTGAAAATAGCATTCTCTTTCACTCTCTTTATGTTTCATACTTATTGTTACCCTCTGTTTAACTATGTATTATGGTTAGGCACCTGTGTTTTGTACCACCCTACAAAAACCCTCCAATGAGGAGGATAAATAAATAAATGGATTAAAATGGCAAAGAAACAACAAATATTAAAGGCTCTATTGATAAATAAATAATATTTTCTGAAGAACACAGCAATAATTTATGTTAATCTGATGAGGAAATATGCTGCACTTCGTGAGAAACAAAATTCGCTGGCATTCTTTTCATACCACCCTTAGATAGCATCTCCTTGTTCCGCTGATCTGCAGTGCCTCCTAGAACTGCCCTTTGGTTCTCACTGGTCTCACCTCAATGCTTCACCACCTCTCCATCCTCTGAGTCTTACTCCATCTTCTCTCTTTCTTCCTATCTCTCTCCCTCTCTCTATGCCACAGATGATCCTCCCTAACTTGCCCAATGCCAAAATCGAAGACGTGTCACGGCTCTTCCGAAATCATGTGGCTGCCAACAAGCTGCCTACGCTTGGCGTTATGGTGAGGGGTGAATCTGGACCCTTCTCCCCCCCTTTTTTTTCCCCTCTCTTTCTGACCCACTTTCTGAAACACCTCCTAGAAAATAAATCTGTAGTGCTTGAATTTCTGAGTCACTTACTGGAGATCAGTAAGAAGCACAGATTGAACATGAGGGCTGCATCAACATTGTGCTGGGACTTGTGTTCCCACTGATTGAACATGAGTCTTAGCCAATGCTAATGCAGAACCCATGTCCAATCTCTGCTCCGTGCTGGCTTCCGGAAGGTAACGAAATGATGTAAAACATTATTGCCTTTTTATCTACGAGGTGGGTCTTTCTCGACAAGCTGTGCTACCCAAATTACAGCTGCTGTTGTCACATTTTTACTGTTGCCAGTAGAGCCTTTCAGCTTGAAAAAAAGGGAGTGAATACCAAAACTTAAAATTCAGTAACTTGTCAAAAAAATTAGTTCGGCCTATAATTTGGGTCACCGTTTCACCTGTGTCTACCTATGTGTTAACCAAATTGTGAGGCAAATCGGCGACCATCGAAATTTTGCAGTTTGTCAGATGAGCGTCCTTGGCAAGAGATGTTGGTCGTGTGGCTCTGCAACTGTGGTCACAGTGGGCTTACCCTTGCAGGAGGTGGAGAAGAACCTGACGCCAAAGCAATGTGCTGTGTTGGACGTAGCCCTGGACACGATCAAGCAGTACTTCCACGCGGGTGGCAACGGCCTCAAGAAGACCTTCTTGGATAAGAGCCCTGAACTGCAGAGCCTGCGCTATGCTCTGTCCCTTTACACACAGACCACGGACACTCTCATCAAGACTTTTGTCACCAGCCAAACCAAACAAGGTGAAGAGCTAGGGCAGGAGATAATGGAACACCCCCCCCCTGGCTACGCCACTGGTTCATAGTCCTGGGCTTGCTTCGTCATGGGTTCTCAGACTGGGTTCCAAGGAATTCCGGGGCTTTCCCACTGTACCCTCAGGGGCTGGCTCTCCAGAGTATCCTCCTGGGTTCCCCAAAGTGCCTTCAGAGGCTCCCCAGAGTACCCTCAGGAGTTCCCCAGAGTACCTTCAGGAGTTCCCTAGAGTACCCTCAAGGGTTCCCCAAAGTATCCTCAGGGGCTCCCCAAAGTACACCCAGGGGTGCCCCAGAGTACCCTCAGGAGTTCCTTAGATCCCCCTCAACGCTCCCCAGAGTATCCTCGGGGTCTCCCTACAGTACACTCAGGGGCTCTCCAGAATACCCTCAGGGGTTCCCCAGAGTACCCTCAGCATACTCTCAGAGCTTTCCAGAGTACACTCGGGAGCCCCAGTGTTCCTTCAGGAGTTCCCTAGAATACCCTCAGGGGACTCCCATAGTACTCTCAAGGGTTCCCCAGAGTACCTTCAGGGACTCCCCAGAGCAGAGCCGTATATGTAGGGAGTTTGTTCAATAGTTGGCACGAATAGGGCAAAAATAAGGGCATGTCATTAGCCGAAATTGTTTCAATGACCTTAAGCGCGATGATTGCAGCTCTTGTGACCAGCCACTAGCCACAAATATTTCCCTAAACATATACACTCCAATCACGATATCTAGGTAAGGATGTATTCAAGTATTTCATTTCAGCACACTAGGGTTGAAGATTTTTAATCATTGTAACTGAAAGGGCAACGCACACAACGTTGACATCAGGGTGACATGCAGAATGCACTTATCTCCCTTTTGATGGCAGTCGCAGCCACGGCAACGACCGAGTGGACGTTTAAAACTGTGGTCACGACTTCGTGGGGATTTTGACCCTAACCCAGAACATGCACCCCATGTTTGCAGTTTTGTCTCATGTTTCAGAAAGCTTTTCTTGTCAATGTCATCTTTTGTGGCTGAGTAAGCACACTCAGCACCTTGATGATCCCTATTTCCACCAATCTCTTACTATTATTCATTCATGTACTTTCAGCCTCATCTAGAAACAAAAAATACCTGCGCCGAAGTGTACGGCTCTTTCAAGGTCATTTCGGCTTTATTTCACTTCGCAGGATTATCGTGGAGGATATGTGGCGCTGGCGGTGGCGATATGCCACTTTGACTGCTCCCGCCAGCTGCTTTTATTGATCAAACTCTCAATATATGGCTCTGCCAGAGTACCCTCAGGGGCTCCCCAGAGTACGCTCAAAGGTGTCCCAGAGTACGCTTAGGAGTCTTCCCAGAGCACCCTCAGGAATTCCCAAAGAGTACCCTCAGGGGTTCCCAAGAGTATACTCATGGGTGCCCCAAGTACCCTCAGGAGTTTCCTAGAGTACCCTCAGGGGCTCCCCAGAGTACCTTCAAGGGTTCCCCAGAGTACTATTGGTGTCTCCTTATAGTACCCGCTGGGGTACCCCAGAATGCCCTCAGGGGCTTCCCAGGGTACCCTCAGAGGCTTCCCAGAGTTCACTCAGGGGGTGCCCCAGAGTACCCCCTGGAGTTCCCTATAGACCTTTTCTGCAAGTGCGCCGCCATCTTGAATTGACGTCACTTCCAGTATGGGCGAAAACATTGTTTCGCCTTTGCCACGCCAATAGAAGGCATTTAGGATATAAGCGTAACCGTCACACTTTCTCGTTTTGCCTCCCCTTTATTTTTTTACTATTTGCAGGTTGAAACGTTGGATTATTTTTTTGTCGCCCATACCGGATATTCCTATTAGGTGGCTGGGGACAAGAGTGCACAGAAAAGGTTTATTGTACCATAAGGGGCTCCCCAGAATACTCTCAGGGGTTCCCCAGAGTACCCTTAAGGTCAGACCCTTGTACCCTCAGAAGCTCCCCATAATACCCTCAGGGGCTTCCCAGAGTACCCTTACGGACTCTCCAAAGTACCCTCAAGTGTTCCCCAGAGTCCCCTCAGGGGTTCTCCAGAGTACACTCAGAAGTGCCGCCGGGTACCCGGAGGAGTTCCCTAGAGTACCCTCAGGGGTTCCCCAAGTTACCCTCAGTCTCCCCACAGTTCCCTCAGGGGTTCCCCACAGCACCCTCAGGGTCTCCCCAGAGTACACTCAGGGGTGCCCCAGAGTACACTCAGGAGTCCTGTAGAGTACCCTTGCGGGCTCTTCAGAGGACCTTCAGGGGTTCCCCAGAGTACCCTCAGGGTACTCCAAGCACCGACACAGTGCTCATGTCGAATCTAGAAACATAGAAAATCTAGCAGTATGGCCTTCTTATTTAGACGTTGACATGAAGCTGTTTTCACATCAGAAATTGGACAATTGCCGCCGCGCCACCGGCTTCACGTCGATGTGTTGTCATCATGTTGACATTTGCAGAAACTTAAGTGACTTCACTTTGGAAATAGGCCAGTTACTGACGCGGAGCCAGCACCAGGCAGGCCTCGGCAACAGACATTTTGGGTATATTGTTTCAGATGCTTAGTTTTGCATCAAGTCATTTTTGTCCTGATATTGGGATATTGTCTATGTGCAGCTGGCAATGTAAAGCACCAGTAATTATCACGCCAGCTATTGCAGACGCTTCATTTGGCATGTAACCGGCTCAATGTTGGAAGATGGGCTTCAGTCGAATCTCGTTAATTCAAACTTGCAGATAATTCAAACGAACATGCAGGTGAAAAGACGGTGAGAGTGCAGGCGAGTTGGTGGTAGCTAATCATGTCGTATTACACCTGAGACTGCGGTGGAAGAAATCGGAAGAACTTTCAGTAGAAGGAACAGACACAGAGAACGAAGGTCCCGTCTCGTGTGTCTCCATGGGAGGAAACTCCCAGTAATTCAAGCTTTGCTTTATTCAAACGAATTCTCGGTCCCTTTCAAGTTTGAATAAACGAGATTCGACTGTATCTACGAAGCGCAGTCGACAGTGGCTGAGTGACGGCAATAGCCCGAATGTTTCGAGTGTGGGGCTAAGCTTTTGGGGAAAAAAAGACTTGACCATCCAATGGTAAATGATTTGTTCTTCTGCGTTTATCTTCGCCCTTTCTTACTATTTTCAACTCTCTATCTTTATGCCACTTTGAGAGCATTTTTGGTTATTTATTGGCCCCTCACGGTGATGCTATTCCAGGCGAAAATCGGTCCACTTCCGGCTGGATTATGGAAGTGGAAATAAGGTGGTCCAGCTGGATTCCAGCTGGACCCAGCTTGACTCAGCTAGATCCGGCTGAAATCCAGCTGGACCCAGCTGAAATCTAGCTGGATTCCAGCTGGACCCAGCTCGACCCAGCTAGATCCAGCTGAAATCTAGCTGGACCCAGCTGAAATCCAGCCGGACCCAGCTGGATTCCAGCTGGACCCAGCTGGAATCCAGCTGGACCCAGCTGGAATCCAGTTGGACCGCCTCATTTCCAGTTCCATAATCCAGCTGGAAGTGGACTGATTTTTGCAATGTAAGTTGTTGACATGAAGCTCACTCTCTCGTGGTGTCTGCCCTCTCTTTGATTCTTCACTCTCCAGATCAGCCGGGTGCAGACGAAGGCAGCGTTGGGGAGGTTTCAGTTCAAGTGGACCTGTTCACACACCCCGGCACCGGGGAGCACAAGATCACCGTGAAAGGTGAGCATCTCCAACTGTCGGTTCTAGGCGCTAGTGAAGAGTGGATTTGGAGTTTGTTTGAAGCAAATTCAAATCGAATAGTGGTATTGGCCGAATATTTTAGAATCGAATATTGAATAGTTTTTCTAAGCCTTTCACTACTGAACAGGCTGAAACGAAAACCCAGCTGAGCTTGCGAAGGTCGTCGCCAACCTTGCATTTTTTCGTTTCACAGATAACTCAGTTTTAATCGAAGTATATTTATGGACCGTGGCCTCCGAAAGGTCATTGCGTGCTTCAAGGCGGCAAGTAAATGACGCATTTGATATAAAATTAGACCTGTAGACATGCCCAGCTGTGCCTATAATCGAGGGAATTAAAAAATACAGTCGCTATATGCAAATATCTTTTCTTCAATTAGGTACGACTAATACCCCTGTCAGACAGGCATCTTAAATGACCTTTACGCTAAAGGACCTTTAGTGTAAATGTCATTTAAGCAATGGCGCACGGCAACTCAAATGGCATTTAGCGTAGAGGTCGTTTTCATGAACCTGAGTTCCCACAACTCATTAACTGCTGCTAAAGGCATACTCTCGTCAGCAGCAGTCCACACTGAAGACGCGAATTGAAAGAAAAGATTGTACTTGTACCTAAAATCAATGTTTTTTTTATTTTTATAATTAAAAAAAGAGTGTGTTTCACATATATCTTGTACAGACCTCGCTCTACTAAGAGTTTTCTGTACTCGCGGCCCCAGCTATCTAGTAGGCCTCGTCGTCGCGTGCTCACATCGTCCGCTTCGGGACTTCGGTTTTCCTTCTCTCGATTTTCCGTATAACTATAGTTACCGAGCTTTTATTTCTCTACTTTATATTTTATCATCTTTTAATAGTGTATTACTAACTGTACTGTATATATTTAGTATTTTTTGTACATATATAAATCTTTATCTCGCTCTCACTTCGTGTGATATGTCGAACAACAAAGGAGTGTCCACAAGTAATACCCGTGTCAGACGGCGTTCTAAAGATCCTTTTCACTAAGCTCCTTTATAAAACCGGCAAACTAGCGCACGCCGTAGGCCACGTGTGCACTCAACATCGTGAGCAGATTGGCCGATTTTTTAAAGGAGCTTAGTGAAAGGATCATTAGAACGCCGTCTGACGCAGGCATAAGAAGGGGTCACTGCGCTTCCATTAGAGTGTCGAGGCGACCTGGGTGCTGACATGACTTTGCGAGGAGCCCTTCCTCGAGGCAATCAGCCTCTTGTTGGGCAGATTGAACGTCGGTGCTGATCGTCAGCAAAGCATGCGGGATCGATGCCAAAAAACCATTCATTGATGCCAAAGCACCTTCATAGTGGGCATGCAGGCACATCAGGAACGCGACACCAGACGCAGGGTCCATCGGAGCCGGATTAACATTGGGAGGAATATTCATCGAGGGAACAAACATAGACGCGTGCGATGAAACTCAAGCGCGAGCACGACGATGAACCGAACAGGGCAAAGTGTAGCAGAAGCACGAAAAGGAGCGGGAGACGCTCAGGGCTGCCGATAATTGCCAAAAAAAACGATTTGCTTGCGCTTAGGGGGGGACACCTTCCAGAAAAAAACAATTTCTGCAAAAAAAGTTGATTTTGAAAAATGTCATAATTACATCCACCAGCATATAGAGAGTTAAATAAAAACAGAAAGAATAAACATAGGGACGGACAGAACAACACCTCTTTCGTGTTGTGTTGAAAGTCGAAAGAGGTGTTGTTCTGTCCGTCCCTATGTTTATTCTTTCTGTTCTTATTTAACTTCACCAACGCGCTCACGTCGAACTAAATATAGAGAGTATTCCCAGAAGGTTTCATTCGTGTACACTGCATACTTAATTTTTGATAAATTATTTTCGGTTTAGCGGTGCTAAAGAAAAGGTTCAGGTTGGAGCACTTTGAATGCATTTTTCTCCATTCCTTTTTCTGGCATAAATATCACTTTAGGAAAACTATCATTTTGTTATTACACAACTTGGATTCATTTTTATGAGTTTTTCTACGGTGAAATATTAAGGGGAAGATAGGTATGACCTTGTATTTTTATTTTTGCCATTTTTTTATGCTCAAAAACAAATTTTGGGCAAAGGATGGAAATCTAAAAAACAATATTTGTGTTTATGTGGCTTTTTTGTCATGAAACATGGTATAATATAGAAATATAGCTCCATAGCTATCTGTTCTGAACTGTCCTAAAGCAATGTAACATATGAAAACAACAAATTGATAAGTAATTTTAAAATGATAGTTTTCCTAAGCAGACACGCCCACTTTCATCTTTGAACATTTGCAATTTTTTGTACTTCACCCAGGTTAACAAAATTTGGCACAAATGTTCTCAAAATCAAAAGAAACAAGCCCTGTAAATGTCATTTAAATCAGACAAGTAGTTCAAACATTCACTTTTTTTGGGTAGTGTTCCCCCTTAAAGTGGACTTTGTTATAATAACTCAACTGAACTCGTCATATTTTCTTTTTTTGAATATTTTGTTTGCTTCAGAAAAACTTTAAAAAATTATATTTATATTGCCAAAATAATATTTTTCTGGCGTGAACATGATTTTTGCGTTTGAACCGAGCTACGAGACTTCAATCGCTGTAAACATTGTCTAAATGACATTTGCTTGCGCTGTCTGGCACGGCAGAACTTGAAGGTCATTTGAAAATCCTAAAGGCCTTTGGCGTAGAGGTCCTTTTAGGTGCCCGTCTGACAGAGCTATAACACAGGTTGTCAGAACATCTCTGCTTAAAGGGATACTACAACAAAATTTCGGCACTCATTTTTTGGTCTATATGTGTTCAAAGGAGCAGCATCACATCGAACATACCAATATCTTCTTAAAAAAGTCACGAAAAGGAATTTTAGAACGAATTAAAGGATTAGTAAGGAGCACCTGGTGGATGTCGCTAACGCCTCGCTTGTAATGCCCGTCTAGAAACCTTGGCAGCTAGTGACGGAGGTTGTCTCGCCTCCAGCTACGACGAGAGAAGAGGAGAACGAGGAACTCCCCTCCTCCCGGGAATGCCTTTTGTCTGTCGCAGAAGTTGCTATTGTCCCCCTACAAGATTATAGAAGATTAACCCGTCACTCAAAATTCATACAAAAGCAGCCGCTTCGGTGGCTGGAACGACTAGGCCATCCTCTCGACGTGGGCCTCGCCGTAGCTTTGCTCGTACTGAGACGACCCACGTCACGATTGCGTTGGATGTCACGTGGTCTCCGCTCGGCCTTCTTCTAGCGCTTGCCAGAGTGTGCCGTTTATAACGAAAAATACAGCCACCAGGCTCAAAATAGAAACGTGCGATTGTCTTTTACGGATATTGTGGATCATATTGAACCTATTTTTGAACACGACGGGAATATTTCAAATTTCTCTGAAGTACCCCTTTAAGATATACTCATGCATGCCAGTTTAATTTTGAACATTTTACTGCAGTGTAGATATCAACATTCATGAAGTTTCTCTTTCTTTTTGAATGCACAAGGCGCACGTGCACCATCCCACTTTGGAAATGAGCTTTTCTTCTTTTCGAAATGTTAATGGCAGCGGATTAGCAGATGTGGCAGAAACTGCCCCCTTTCCTCTCCAGTGTTTGCACTTCCAAGGCGGATACTGGTGGGAAGAGCTCCCCTGAATTCTTAACCTGTCACCGACTATGGTTGTGACAAGTATTTTGTATACAAATCGTTGGCGAACTACATTGCATTGATATCACTTTCTGTTGTGAGGAAGTATTTCTATATCCACATATACAGTGATGTGATTGCTGTGCCAATTGTGCCAAACTGCTCCAAGTGGCTAACCCTGCTACATCCTGCTACATTTTGTCAAAATATGGGTAATCTGCGCCGAGCCTGCGCCAAAAAAACAATTTCGGTCGCCTTTCGAAACCGAAACTAAACTGAGTACCGTAATCGAGCATGCGTGTGTTATGTGGCGCAGGCGGCCGCCCCACACAAAGTACCCTGCAGGCGCGTAGCCAGGATTTTGATTCGGGGGCGCCCGCCCATGACAAAATGCTGTATGAGGGAGGGGGGGTAGAGGAGATTCCAGCAAAATAGGCGATTTTTGACAAAAAGGTCAACAGTGCACAGTAAACGGGGACTAAAGAAAGTGCAAACAGGACAAGCGCCGCTTGTCCTGTTTGGACTGTTGGACCAAAATGGTACAACAGTCCAAACATCCTGTTCGACCAAAATTAAAGATTTTTAGGGATCCAGCCCCCCCCCCCCCCCCCCTTCCCCCCCCCCCCCCCCCCCCCCACTCCCCCTGGCTTTGTGCCTGGTAACCTGCATCAATCGTCCGTTCAGTCTTGCATGGTTTTCCCGCTGCTTCGCGTTTCGCGCTTTCATCGTCTCATGGGTCTCGTCTTGCGTCTTTCCTTGAAATATTTTCAACGATAAACGCGGGGGTGTGCAGACGCTCCGACGCTAGCGTGTCGGGTACCAGTTATGCCGTCATGCTGCGATACAAAAGCATGTGTTTTTGCGTGGCGGGAGTTATTTTGTGAGCTGAAGCACTCGCTCCTGAAAGCAATGGCCGTGGGAAAACTATTTGTTCCCCGCCTTCCAGTCACCGTGGTCGCGTGACGTCGGGTGTTGCCGTCCCCACGTCGCTGCAGATACGGCTCTTTCTAAATTGAAACTAAGTACCGCCACATGTGCATCAAAATTCCTGTTCTTGTGTAAATCATACGTTACTACAAAAATCCCTCTTTAACTCAGACTGTTATGTCCAAGCATTGATTACGCAGGTTTCTCTCGGTGGGCTTTTTTTCGAGAGGGACCCCAGTACATGAAAAATCTGCCGCAGAAGAAAGTTGGTGAAGAGAAGTGAGCTAAAGCAAAGAAGGCAATGTCTTCATGCTGAACTCGCACAGCGCGCTCATTTGTCTCGAGTTCAGTCGTTGCCAAAGCGCTCCACTGACGTTTTGACCCTGGCTCGCGATGCCTCGCATCAGTGCGCTCAGGTTCTTTTTTTATGTGTCTTTAGCTTGTACCTTGTTTGCCGACCTGGAAAACACATGCCGCTGAACATTTTTTTTTTTTTGTCGTATGCTTGAAAGTTACATTTTGCATACAATTTTGGGAATCAGTTGGTAACGAAGCAGAGTGGCATGGTTTCGGTTTTGATCAAATAGCCGTTGCCTCCGCTCGCGCGACGAAGCACGCGCAACTGGAAGCCTGCCGAAGTTGCCCTCACGTGCATGCGACCATGATTGCACGACAGAGGCACCAGCCGGGATGCTTCCAATCCATTGTTGTACGTTTGCTTACTACCTTTGATGAAAATCTGGCACGTCGGGAATCAGTAAAACGCTAGCAAGCAATTTTTCGGAATTGCTCGGCAACGCCTACAGCACTGTATGTACGCTTGTGGGATGTCTCAGCAGTAAAAACACTGGCAGCGAGTTCCGTCACAACACGTCACATCAGAACACACAAAGTACATTCGTTTGTAGAGCCCTTAAAACAAATATTTTTGTTTTTCTAAGAATATCTGCTGGAAAAGCCACTTTTGCTGCTCTAAAACACTGTTTCGGTTACTCCAAAGGCCATATTTGCTGCTCCAAAACGCTGTTCTGGCTGCTCCGAAAGGTGCTCCCAAATGGCTAAGGCCAATCCCATCACTGCATATATCTTAGGCAACTTTTAGGTTTGGTAGTTTAAAAGAATATTTTCCTGCGGGATCGTTTTTATAAAAGGTGTTTATTGCTGACATGTCAAATAAATCATAAATTTTTTCTTAAATCAAAGGGCTTTGTGGCATTTTGTAGTTCATTTCTTCTGCCTGTTCCTGCTTTTCGGCAAGGCTGGAAATTGTTTCCCTTTCTCTTTACATGCGTCATTGGGGGAGCAAAAACGTCCTTTGCATATGAACTGCTAGGGACAGGATGATTTACAGCGGGCTTAACAGCGACGTTCGGAGGACTCAACGGAGTGTGTGCATTAGGTGTGCTAGCGTGTGGCATTTGGGAAAGGGTGTACTCCCACATTTCCTCCTCTCCCACTGATTGTTTTAATTTTTTCTGCAAAAAATTTTTGAGGTCTGCACAATGGCACTTTTGAAGAGTGCCTGCAACCGGATTAACTCGCACTTCTTGCACGTGCTCAGTGGTGGCGGCCAATGACATCAAGTGGCCCAACACATCCATGTTCCGGCCGTTCGTGGAAGTGAACCTGATTGGTCCTCACTTGAGCGACAAGCGCCGAAAGCACGCCACCAAGTCCAAGAACAACAACTGGTCCCCAAAGTACAACGAGACCTTCCACTTGTAAGTCTGCTCCTGCATGCATGCTTCATACATATTTTACACGTTTTAAAATGATTTACATTTCTTTTTTGGAAATGCCAAAAATGAAAGTGTTATGGTTGTGGCACAGTGTGTAAGTTTATACTGATTTTGATCACCTCTCTATAATTGTAAACTTAGTTGGAAAAGTTTTTTCTTAAAATGGCTCTCCAAAGATGATGAGGGCCCCATTAATTGCATCTTGGCTTCGTGACTGACCATCGTAGCACCAGTGATTACAGTCAGACCCGTTTATATCGATCTCTCAAAAAAATGTCTACCAGTTCGATATAGCAAATAATTCAAAAGAAAAGGTTGTTTATTTTTTTTATGTGCATTTAGTTTTTTTTTTTTTTTTTTTTTTTTTTTCATTTTGCTATGGGCACATCTAATATCAAATTTTGTAGATATGGTATTGTTCAAAATTTTTATTGGAGGTATGAAGTGTATCACTTTAGCAGTTCGATATATCGGTGGCGGCTGCTACTTGTGTTCAATGTAACCGTAGTTTTTGCTCTATATTATTATTGTAACATTACTCTGTACAAAAATTGTTCGATACAGGTGATAATTCAATGTAACAGGGTTCGATATAGTCGGGTTTGACTGTATAGGTAATAATGTGGTGAGTCTGCCAACGCTTCAGATCGGCAAGGTCTGACTTCTAGCTTTTAACTATAAGTTCAACAATTTGTGCAAGGCTGATAGTGGGCTGGCCCAGTTGGCAAAATGGCATGGGGTTTAGTTAACGGTCATGTGGCTCGCTTATTGTTTCTTTTGTTAAGAATTATACCGTTTCGAGGACGATCTACAACTTATGTACACTTCATTAGCATGTGAATTTTAAGTAAAATCTGAAATATAGCTCGCAATGTTTCATTTGTGTGCTGCGCCTTTAAAATAATAATTGTTCTACATGTTCATGGCAAGTGTGCTGTCAAGGCAAGGGTGTGATGCAGTTAGCACAAATGTGCCATTTTCAGTTGTCTCTATTCTTTATTAAGCATAAGTGAAATGCTACGGTAAAAGCTAAGTAACTTCGATGGCCGATGCACGCATTCCACCCTAGTGGTAGTATGATTTTATTGCGATTGAATGTGGTCTTGGACACCAAGATAGGCACTAAAATATAGTGCTTGTTAGTGCTGCACGAATATTCAGATTTTCAAATAGTAGTTTAGAATAATATGCTATTCGATATTCGCTTTGAGGTGAACCGCGATATTCATACTTTTCAAAGGGTCGATCGCGGCGGGTTAGCCTTTTTGAGTGCGCTTCTCACTGCGGGCACCGGTGCACTGCAAGCTCTGCAGGTATCACTCCACCCAGTGTGCAGGTGTTCGGTGAGAAGCGCACTCAACACGACAAACCCGCCGCGATCATGTAAGAGCAAATATTTGGCAGCAACGTCACAACAGCCCGCGTCGTCACTTACGCTTGTTTTGTTTTTATTTTCGTCAAATTTGAAATAAAAGAAATATTATGTGTATATGACACGCATATTTATACATCCCCTCGATTGGGATAACTGCGACAAATTTGTCGTTTACAAGCCACAGTTCATATAGTAGCATGGTGCACAGTAGCAAAAGACTAAGAAACTATTTGATATTCGATTAGAGAATATTCTATCAAAGCCACTACTGTAAACGACTCATATTTCACAGGCTCAATATTTTGCGATTTAGGTCAAAGCTGAAGTTTTGGAGTAATTCGAGGAAACTGCGGATTGTGACGATTTGTGGATTTTCTATTTAGTAAGTTTTAGAGAACTGCAAATCAGGACGGTTGGCGTGACACCCGTCTTTGTCCCCACGCAGCATCATTGGGAATGAGGAGGAACCGTCGTCGTTCGAGCTGCACGTCTGCGTCAAGGACTACTGCTTTGCCCGCGACGACCGTCTGGTGGGCGTGGCCGTGATGCAGCTGCGCGACATTGCCGACCAGGGCAGCTGCGCCTGCTGGCTGCCCCTGGGCAGGCGCATCCACATGGACGAGACCGGGTGGACCATCCTGCGGATCCTCTCGCAGCGCACCAACGACGAGGTCGCCCGGGAGTTTGTCAAGCTCAAGTCGGAGCTGCGCAACGACGAAAACATCCCCCGCAACTAGGACCCCGAGGGGCTCACGCGATCGGTGGCCGTGGGAGGGGCTCCCGTGATTTCGAACCGCCCGCAGAGAACGGACGCCGCGCTCGCAGTCGCCGAAAAGACGGGCACGCGACAAAATTAACGTTCGTTTTGAGAAAAGTTTGCGAGGCAGGATTCCTATATATACAACTGCAAAGTGCCTAGTCTGGGGCAACCATTAACCTTTGCTAAGACCGTGTTGTGCGTGGTCACTCTTCCTGGTGGGCGCCTTTGTTTTCGCGCTGCTTTCGTCGCTCTCCAGACAGTGCACCACAGCCGGCTTGAGTCTCTATTGAGGTGTAGCGTTTACTCGAGTGTAAGTCGGCGCAGGTTCGAAAAGACCCTAGCATTTAATACTTGGGCACGATACCAGCAAGTTAGTATGTTCCTCGTGCCGAAATTGCAGGCTACCATATTTACAGGCTACCATATTTGCAGGTTAAGAGTCAGATCTCTTTTTTTTTTAAATGTCCATGCATTTGTTGTTCTTTTTTTTTTATGAGGAGAGGCAATGATTACAGTTAGGATGCAGCGAGTGAAGATATCTCAATCATGCCCCAAAACTGCCTCCCCATGTCCAAATTCGGAACGTAACGTTTAACGCGCTCGCAATTTCGGAACAGATTGCTTTCCGTAAACACAACGTCGTAAGCAGAGGATAGTCTGTTTCGTAGGGAGATGTTGGCCGGCTCTCCTCGTAGAGATTTATAATTGGATGTCCACGTGCTTGGAGAGGAAAGTACGAGGACAGTTTTCTCAAAAGGTTTTCACCAAAAACCGATTAACTTCGCTACGACTGCCCGCAATCTCCGTTGTCTGCGAGCGGTTCCACGTCGAGGATTTTCTCTTCCGGCGCCCCTCACACCCCTAGGGAGTCTTCGAGTCGCGTCGGTTACAGTCCGTGCGCAGAACCAGTGCAGTGGAGGAGGGGCGCGTCTTGCAGGGGCTGTCTGCAGAAAAGCGGGATCCCATTGCAGTAATGAGAACAGGACCAAACAAAACTTGAACACAAAAAAACAAAACGAAAAAAAAAATTGATTTTATGATGGAGTGATTGTACTTTGCGATGACACAAAAATTTAAACAACCATTTTGAAATAAATTTGATTTTTTCTTTCATTCTTTTGTGAAACAAACGATGGCAGTAAATAATAATAATAATATTTATTTGCACAAAAAGAATATTACCCTGGATGGCATGCCAGGCCGGGCAGAACGGTTGCTATATAATAGCGACTCAGATTTTATAAATAAATTCAGTGGCCTTCTTTACGACTTTGAAAACATGTAGAGTGTGATTCAAAGTGTAAACTGTAGCGTCCACATGGAAGTTCCTAAATTAAACATGTTTTTTTTTTATACTTCAAAGGCTTTGCCATAGTTGAAAGCTACAACACTTACCTGTCCTAGCGGGTTTTAAAGACGACCTTTGCAATTTCCAGATAGCATTAGATAGCATTCTTTTGCCATTTTCCTGGAGGGTTAAGTTCAACTTCTGCAGAAAAAGAAGTTTAAAGTACAATCTGTTCAGGGTTCAATTCCACTCTATTATTTTACATTTGCACTTGAAAAGTGAGATTCTGAACCACACATTTGCTCAAGATGGCTGCCTAAAAACCCTAATGAACATGGTTGAATCTTTTCCTCTAGATATTTATTTTTAGTCATATCTTCAGATCTTTTCAATTTTCTCTTTTCAAAGTGATTCTAAAAACATGTCTGTGTCCGAGTTCTTTTCGAGCTTGCTCCCGGGAAATGTTCAAAGGAGTCGCCGAACAACAGAGCACTGTCGAGGCCTCTGTCTCCACAACGTTGAACGCAAGGTTTCGCTAAAAGACGTAAGATCGGCATATGAAACGGAGGGCTGTTCGTTCGGTGGCTTCAACAGGACCGAAATTAGCGAGAACAGTTCCCGGAGCTTGGAATCTGGTGCCGCGCTCGATGCAAAGTGAGGCGAGGCAGCCCCCGCAATGACGCGCCGAATAAAAGGGGAGCCAAACCGTCTCCCTGACAATGGTTGTGATGTCAGAGGTAGGATCGTGGCACAAAACGTCGTTTCGCTGCGAAAAAACTACAAAATAAACTGCGCGATTGTCGCGTGCGTGTTGCACAAAGCGGCGACCGCGCTTTTCAAGCGTTGATTATAGCAACTGTTTGCCAGCGGTATGTATAGTGGCTGCATTGTGGGGGGGTTGGGGAGAAAGCTGCAAAACATTTGTTCTGATTAGCAGGCCATTTTTAGTTTGCGAAGTAACGTCGATGTGGCCTTAAGTACACTGCAATAACAGCCGTGACTTTGTTTGTTTGGATCACTCGTCTTTGGCGGTTCGTCGGCTAGTTTGGACCACCCAGATTGCTCCTTGCAGAGAGGGGAGTGACTGCGGCAGAGTGCGCCGACCCGGTGAGGCGGTCGCGCCAACGGGAAAGGAGGAGATGTGTTAACGCATGACGTCTCAAGAACAAATGGTAGGCGAAGGAAAAGAAAAATGGTGACCTCTTTGTTTCGACAAGAGCCCTGTTCGTAAGACGAGCGACGCCTTGCTGCGTTGCTGGAACGACGGCCGCGGAATGGGTGCAGGTCTCGCAACTCCGCGAGGTTGCCCTTTCGGCGTGTCGGGACGCCAGTTTGTGCCGTGGCGGTGACGACCCGCGCACGTCTTGCGCTCTCCTGTTTCTTTCATCTCTTCTTGCTCAGATGTTTTGCTCTGCGGTGTCGAGGGCAACATATTTTTCTTTCCCCTGGGTTGCCTGTCGTCGTGCATTACGAACGTGACCTCCCATTTCTCCTGCCCCGGAGGCGGCCTCCTCGTTCCTTGTTCACTCGGAGCCGTCTTCGAAATCTATGCCATGCCTGAACAGATCTGCCATGTGTCGAGTTATCAGCATCACGAACGCACGCAGTCTCTTCGGGAAACTTAAAACGAGCGTACGGTCTAAGAGAAGTTCGCTGGACGTTCGTGGAACCTTGTGACGTCTGCAAGAGCACACGTCTTGTAGGGAGTAATTGCAACGCTGGCTCGTGTGTGCTCGCTGCAATACCACGTGAAACTAAACTTGCCTAAGCAGTTGCAGGTACAATGACTGATTTGTCGATCCCCTCTAAGCAGATGGCACCGCACTCAATTCCTTTCCAAGGTGGACCACAGCCAATGCCATAAGCCATCCTGGCCAATCCAGGGTAGCAAGTGTGTCATGTGACCTTGTGGTCGGGTGCAACGGTGGCCAGAACACGAGGTCACATGGCTAGATCCTGCTGCTGCATTGGCCCGAGTGGCTTCCGTTGGGGTAGCGGCAGTATTTGATTTGTGCGAGTCGTCCGGTGCACCTTGGAGGGAGATGAGTGTAAAGTAAGCGGGAGCAGACCGATAAGGCCAGGTACCTTGGCAACTCCCTGCAGGCATCAATTGATATATAGCCGGGTTCAATTGGATAACTTGCGACGTATATAAGGGTAACACCAGTTGCTCTTGGATTAGAACTGTTACATGCTCGCTGCAACGAAAAGCATCCATAGTTCAAGTGAATGCAGGTGTACCCCGAAATTCTGCGCGCCAGCGTTGAGCCAACAGGCAGACCTGTCCAGGCGTTTTTCACGAGTGGACAAAACTAGCTTCCATAATTTTCTTTCTTTTTCTTTTTTAATTCTCATTCCCGATCCTATACGCTTCGATTGCGCATCTAAGACATCTGTTCGTGGCTTGTACAAACTACCGGCTGTTTTTACTATGGGCGGGGACTTGACCCAAAGGGCTGTCTCTGTGTCGTTGCGACCAAGGCCCTCGCGGTGTGGGCTGAGCTCGCCTTAGGCTATGAAGGCAGAATAAACATGGTTGTAAAATATTTCCTAGGGATTGTGAAACAAAGTGCAAACGTTGTGTTGCCCTGCATTGCATATCTTGCGTTGTCTGTCAGTTTCTTTTTTTTTTTCTCTTTTTTGGTACTTTTTGTGCCAGCTGTCAAGAAGGATTCCTTTTTCAACATGTCCACCTCTGGAGTCGTGTTTTTCTTTTTTTCGTTACCTCTTCGACTCATGTGCGTGCTTTTTCCGCGGTTACCAAGTGTGCGTGTGCGTGCATGTGTGAACATTTGACGAGCGTGATGCCAAGACGCGCACATCTAAGCTTTGTCCTCAAGACTAACTTTTTTCTAACCAACCAGAGAATGGAATCAAAACTCCTCACTGCATGCTCTCTTTGTAAATATGGGGACGAGGGAAGAACAGTCTCTTGTGTGAATTTACAATAAAACGGTAAAATAACTACTGTACATACCTTTTTTGGAAGAAAAATGAAAGCGAAACGCTCTCGCAGCAATCTCGTTGTTGAACTCTGTTGAACAATGTTCTAATAAAAAAAAAAATAAGAAAGCTCTTTTCTGTGCCCTCTGAGAACGTGTTTTCCATCGGGGCCCAAAGGAGACTAATAAAGTTGATATATTGAGTTCAAATGACTTGGCTGTTGTGCTTTGATGTTATGGATGGCCAGCTGCGAACTTGAATCGGTGTTGCTCAGACCAATACTTTTTAAGCATGCGAGCGTTTTTTTTTTTTCACGTGCATGTTATGTTTGCCAGACAAAAAATTTAGCACTCCTAGGTTTACCCACAGCACAGTCGCAGCGACAAGTCACGGCGAAATCGTTTGGCATCGGCGTCGCGTTCACGCGGGTGCGTGAACAAAAGCGTTCGGAACCAAATAGACGGACATCTGACCATTTTATTCTGGGGAATTCGAAAGCGCGTCTCCCGGCACAAGTTCTTGGAATTGGCAGTGCTATACATGTACACGTTTGCAAGTCCGGCCTCGGGGCGCCACCATCTTGCTCGGTTGGGGTGCGCTTGGGCGCGGCCATAATCCTATTATGACGCCTTAACAAGTCCCTGGGAAGCTTATCGCACCGCCGATACTCCCTCCCGGGCTCCAGCTATACGCAGGTTGCCGGTTTGCAAGTCGACTCCCTTGATGTAGAGCGCTTCGTGAACAACATTGTGAAGGGGTGGCAAGACCTTACTGCTCCGGGTCTTGAGCAACTGCGCAATCACCAGGAAGAATACGGATCCTGCATGGATCTGGCTCGCCGCTGCGAGCGTGGGTGGCTGCGGCGAGCGTTGCAAGTTCCTGCCCATCTCCGCTGCTTTTCGAGCACGAGGAGCAACATCACAGTCTGCGAGGGGCTACTGCTCTACAACAACCGGATTCTGGTTCCTACTGTGCTCCGACGTGAAATGCTGGCCAGACTGCACGACCTGCTGGCCAAGACGAAGGATACCTACCTGGCCCTTCTCGTCTGTCGCGACACCCCGAGAGTAAGTGGATGGAACCCAGAGCAACGTTTGATGGGAAGACGGCTGCAAACCACAGTGCCGATGCTCTAGGAGGCTCTGATCCCTAAATCGCCTGCAAGGACACTCTTCCACTAGCGAGACTCGTCTGCTCGACGCCGACAGGCGCAGGACTACAACAGGCGCCACGCCGCTCGTCCACTTTGTCCGCTGTCTCCGGGCGAAGGTGTTTGGCTCGATGATGTTCCTGAAGCTGCGCATGTCCTGGCCCCAGCAAGGCGACCTCGCTCGTACGTTGTATAGACGCCAACAGGCATACTTGAGCGGAACCGTCGTCATCTGGTTCCATTCACATCATCTCGGCCTGCAGAGGGGTCTGCTAGGTCGCCGGTCTCCGACACTTCAGCTGCATTTACCTTGCCTCCAGTGCCTTGTCCTGCTACTTCGACGCCTCCGCAACCAATACAGCACTCCACTGGGTCTCAGCGGTCTCGGGCGGAATCCCCGGTGCTTAACGCAGCATCAAACGCCAGGGGATGCCTTCGCCGCGGACACCAGCCTGCCCACAACATCAAAATAGGATTTTTTTTATTTTTATTTTTTTTGCTTCGGTCGACGCATCAAGACGCCCGAGAGACTTAATTTATGAAGACGGCAAGTTCGTGTCTTTTTTCCTGAAGGGAGATGCAGAGGTCGCAACTGGCGCCACCTCACTTTTTTCCTCTTTATCGCTCGCCTGAATAACGTAACTTAACTGTCTGTGCCTTTGCGCTTTATGTTATATGCATATTGAACCAACTAGACTACGGTAATATTTTAGTTAAAAGCATTTCTCTACTTCATGAAGTCACTTTACTCGGTGATGAGCCGGAGTTTAATTTTCTTAGTGACATCGGGCTTATATACTAACTATGATTTTAATTCATCATTTGAACCCAGTTCTATCACCTATTTACTTATACAAACTCTTGTTCATACTTGTATCACATCATCAGCTACAATATCTCTGTCTTCCACACCTTGGCTAAAGATGAACCATTCGGTAGGCATCGACCTGGTTTTGGAATTATAATATTGGGACAAAAAACTTCTGGTTTTCTTTAAGGAGCAAGCGAGACACTTGCTCGCGTCCCGCGGAAGTAAGGCACCACTGTGACACATTAAACCAGTCTCGACCATTGGTCATTGTCTTCCAAAAAATCGTCCCCCTAAAGAAAAAAACAAAACAAAAACGCAAAGGCTTATCTACAGGATTTCTTGTAGTGGCTGCCCCGCCTCGTATTTTGGGGAACTCAGATCGTCTACGTAGAAATTAGTACGATGTTAAAAAGGACATTCAGGGCATCGCATTAGCCGAGCACGCTGAGCAGAGCCACACCATCGCGTTCAAAAACAGCACCATCCTCGACAAGCAAAGAAATCGGCGAAAACGCCCGTGGAAAGCATCCTTGCATATTCTAGACAGCGTCCACATGACGCCGTCAAGCGGCCTGCCGGAACGCTACCATGCAGCTAAATCTCCGCATTAAGATTCGTGACGCGAGATACGTCCAGAAAACAGACACCGAAACTCACCCTCAACTTTGAAATGCAAAACTGGGACAAAACGATAGAAAAAAAATTAGAAATTAAAAAAGAAAAAAAGATGATGCCGGGAACTTTGGAAGGCGGCCAGGACAGAAACATTACCCGTAATCAAGAGACCGATCGAGCTCGCCTTGAAGGGTTGGGCTTTCAAATTTCACATGGTCGCAGTTTTTATCTCATATTTTAAACTCTTTCTATCACAGTAGGTTATGCTCTTAGCACATCTTGAAATGTGTAGCACTTGAGCAATGAATTTACAGTCAATCAATCAACCATGGGCAGACAGGCCGAAGGTTTAAACGTGTGTTTGTGTGCGTTTGTGTGTTTGTTTTGGGGAGGTGGCTGATGGGTTGCTGTTTTTCCAAACTACTCGTCCGGCCGACTAAAGGAGTGCGGATGGTTGAGTATAAAACTGATATCTACTTGTAATATGGTTCATGAGCTAGGTTTGAGTCTAGTCAACCTTTACATGATAACGGTTAGGTTGGGATTCTTCTATGAAAATTCCTTGCTAAAGGTCATATATATGAAATTATACGGGGTGCCGAATAGGACTCACATTTGAAGTCGCCCATCGAAATCGGAGTCGTGCGCACTAAAGGCGATTAAAGATGCATTGCTTGAGCTGGGGCGAGAAGCATACATGTAATATACCCTTGATGTAAGAGAGCTAATTCAATTGAACAGCAGCAAAATGTTATATTAGTTTTAAAATTCATAAAACAACACCAAAACAAAAATGTCCAACACATAAACATAACATTTATTTACTTAAATGTTTCGTATACAACCATTTATGATTTTTTTATATATAGGGTGGCTCAAGTCACCAGGATCGATCTAAAATGGACCGTAAAAATCGACGCCTGCACGTAGCCGTTTAAACTTTTCTTCAAAGGTGTATTTCACAGGTCGGTTTTTTCTTGTAAAATTACAGAGCGTAGTTCTCTTTTAGTAAAAAATAGGGCCACGAAACTTGCCAGGGGCTACGGCGGGCGGTGACCCAGACGACCAAGTCCAGTAGCGAGCTGTGTTTGCCGTTCGTATTGGTAGATGGCGTCGGGAGCAGCGTCTGAAGGTGAAGCCGACCAGCCAAAGATAGCAGACGACACGCAGACGAAATCCGTTGGCAGCAAAAGCGCCGCCGTTATGCAGACGCTTTTTTTACTTTAAGTGTTGCTTTTTTTATTCACATTCATTTTTTAACCGAAGGTATATTTCAAAAAAGCTTATATTCATTTTAATAAACCACGGTGGTCGCGAGCCGTCGCGATTAGGAGGTAGCGCCATCTATCAATACGAAGGGTCCATATCACAAGAGCGAATGACATTTTAGCGAACGGCGACATTTGAGCGAATGGTCGTTTTAGCGAATAACGGGGGCGCGCGTTAACCCATCCGTCGCGCTGCGCTTTACGCCGCTTCGCGGCGACAGTCTACGGCAACTCATTACAAAAATATGAACTCACTTGGCCCACCCGAAAACGCCGCTTCGCGGCGTCCGACTATTCGCTAAAGTGTCGTTCGATGAAACGTGGGCGTTCGCTAAAACGTCATTCGATCAAGTGAGTGCCTCCCCAATACGAACGCCAAACACACCCCACTACTGGACCCCTGTCGTCTGCGTTGCTGCCCGCCGTTGACCCAGGCAAGTTTCTTGGCCTTATTTTTTACAGAAAGAGAACTACGCTTTGTAATTTTACAAGAAAAAAACGACCTGTGAAATACACCTTTGACAAAAAGTTTAGATTGCTACGTGCACGCGTCGATTTTTACGGTCCATTTTAGATCGAGCCTGGTGACTTGAGCCACCCTATATATACTCATAGAATCACAACAGTTCCTTGGCCACTTTTGACAGAGCAGACACATAAAAGTCAAGGCATTCCAGAATCAAGTGAAAATGTTAAACACGCTATAAACCTACAAACTGTACGAACAATAAGTGAGAATGTTGAATGTTTTCTTAATTTATGAATTCCAGGGTCAACACGCGTGTTTCACAAATTGGTGCAAATCAATTGTCTTCATATACAGAGTAGAAAGAGTGAGACTATTTTGCAGAAAACCTCATCGTCTCACATGACGGCTAGCGACAAATTCTCAAGAAGTATTTGGGACATTTGAATTCTAACCATTCTTCCAGAACCTTATAACTTGAATAAAAAAATGAAATCGGCTCTGGCTGGAAATTTGTATACAGAAACACATCTAGTGAAGAAAACATGTGCCTCACTTTAGATGTATTTAACACCCATCTCTTGATTACACTTCTACAACTCCAGCAATGTAATCGCGTCATAGTTTTTTTTTTTTTTTTAACGTTCCAAGAGCAACTTGTTTTACAGGAGCTCGACCACACGAATTATGCTACACATGCGAGAGCCTTGGTTTTTCGAACATTGATTATGACTCATACTTGCATAAAGATAGCCAAGCTTTATAATAAAAAAAAATAATGTACCGATTAAATTTCAGGTCTTTTGGGATTTCAAATTTCAGTGCCTATGGGGGGTCGAGTACATATTGAAACTTCGTCGATTAGATCCCACACTTACACGTTAACATAAGTGTCTACA